CTGCATCCGCACGAATCCAATCGCAAATGATCTCATCTGGTGTTCAACATCACTCGTCCATCTTCCCAGAATCCTCGGAATCCAACTTGCCCTCAGCAACCTTCAGCCTCCTTCAACCCACGCATGGATGGAGCACATCGAATCATCTTCGCGGAGGCGCCCGGAACAACATTCAACGGATGTGCCCGTGGCATGCGCCCAGATGATCCGCCAAGGAGGCCGGGCCCGCCTCGTAGACCAGGCCAGGCGCTTCGCTGAAGAGCTTCTCCATGTAGGTGCCAGGGCCTCCAGGGCGACGGAAGCGCCAGATGGAATGGATGATTGGGACGGAAAAGCCTATTGACCGATCAATCGAGTAGGATGATGTCAGGGGTCCAAAATAAAATCCATACATGGATGGTCTGGACAAGGTATACCCTAGAAGACCACTGAAGTAAAGCATATTCCTTTTCGGATCACCTAAAGACCATTGTTTTTATAGTCTTTGACTCCCAGGGTATAGGTAAGACTTCCAAATGTGTTTGGAGTAGTCGCATGGAAGTGGGAACGAACTGGGAACGAACCGGAAGGAAGGGTGCCCACTCACATCCACTGACTCCATCAAAATATACCCTTTCGCCAAACCCGTTCGACGTTTGAAAGAGTTCGGTTGACCTGGTTTTGTAGTGTCCATTCCTGACTAAAACAATGAGGCCGGGATTCAAACCAAATGGTTGGCCAGGAAGCCCAACGGATATAGTCTTTGCACGTCCTAAGGACTCCGCCATGGAACTGCGGCGGGTTTGGAGGTCTTTTTAGGTTGGGAGCAGTACTTCTAGGAAAGGCTTCGAAGCGAATTCCACCCAAAGATCCGGTTTCAGACTCGGAAAGACGACTCGGAAAGTAAGGGTAGGTCGATCCTTACTGCTGTGAGACCAACAACCCGTGATCCTTGCTTCGGATCCCTGAACCGTCGGTCGACTCTTCGACTCCTCGACTCCTCGACTCGTCACATGCAGAGTCGTCCCATGCAGATCGATCAGATCACCGGCCTGCGTCGTCCAGCTTCAGCTCGATGCCCTTGCGTCCGGCAAAGGCCATTTCAAGCCTCGAGCAAACGGGCGCGGGACCGAGCTGCTTGTTCAATTGCACAGAAGAGGAGCAAGAGAAGGGCAGATCGGCCTACCAGGAGTCACATGGTTGGCTTGGCACCAGGAGTCACATGGGACGTTGGATGGCTTGGCTTTCGTCCCTTCTGACCAGTGACTGGATGTGGATGGAGGCACCCCCGAGACCCGGAGAGCACCCCCGAGCCAAAACGGTGACTGCAAGTGAAGCGAGCCAACGAGCCAGGCGGACTCGCTTCCGTCCGGCGGTCCGGGACCAAGCACCGGTGCGTGGGTGTACGAAGTCTAGGGCTCCTGGCCTACCTCCGTTTCGGTTCGGTGGGCCAGGGGTGGGTGCCAGGGGGGTCAGTTTTCACCGAACCTGAGGATATGGGCCAGGAGGTGTAGGGAGTTGAAGAGATACCTGAAATCCCAGCTCCCAACCAGAAAGAGTTCTGGATGGCCCAGTCCCAGTCCCACTTGCTATGTAAAGGATTTCAAGCTGGTGCCATCTTGGGTTCCGCTTCACAGTCATGTTGGTGAGTATTGACCCCAAATAGGGAGACCCCTCCTATAAAAGAAGTTCAGGAAAAGAAAAGGTCTCAAGCTCCTCCTACCCTCCTGCAGAGGACCACATGGACCCTGAAAACCACTCGATGGATAGATGTTCAAAAAGTAGATCTATAAATATAAAGGACTTCATTGCATTTTACTGTCCATGTGGGTGTGCATGGATAAATAGAGAGACCGTTCCACTCCACACCGTTCCGACCCCCTGGGTTCGGTTCCCTAAATAGGCCAGGGCCGCCAGGGTTACAATCTAGTCTACCCATGGGTTGGAGATCTTCTTGATCTTCCTACTAAAATACGCACTGCAGTCCATATTAGCCTCCCAGGCAACGACCCCTGGAAGAAGGACAATTGGCCAGTCTACCCATTCGTTGGAGATCTTCCTCTTAAAATACATTAATAGTCCGTGTTTAGCCTATACAGAAGGGTCTTTCCACTCCACACCCAGCTGCACCCCACCGCTTCTCTCTTGCTAAGCCCTCGCACACCGCGGTCAGCAGCCCACCATCGGAGCGGTCGTGGCCTCGGATAGGGAGAGAGGATGTAGCAAGTCTACCCGTTTGGTGGCCAACCATTGATTTCATGAATCCCATGACGAAGCATGGGTTTACTCAAGATGTTTCGGATGCTTAATTATCTGACAGGTCAGCAGGTCAACCAAGCATTGTTTGAATGGTCGAACTGAAGGTTTCATGGTCAAACCATGCATTAAAGAACCTGAGTAAAGCCATGGTTAATTGGATTCAGACCATTGAAGGAATGGTTGGCCAGGAATCCTAGAGGACACAAAGTACCTGTTTTTGGTTTCGTGGTCATGTCCCATGTTGCAAGGTATGAAGGACGTCGGGTCGGGGTAGGGGGCATCAACTTGGACTTCCTAAAGAACCCGTACTACATCCAGTCTAAATAGCCTCAGGTCTGGCTCCATGTGCCGTTTTTAGATCAAGGGGGGGTTCTAGGCTTCCACAGCAAAAATCTGCTGATCCGTTCGGAACTCCAGGCCATTCGGGTAAAAGACAAAAGCCACATGAGCAGAAAGCCAGTGAAAGCATATATGATTTGCTTAAGGAGCCGGACAAACATGTAGAAAACTAAACCATATGATCCAGATCCGGGATCTGGGATGAAGCCCAGTTCGCGAAAATAAGATAAACAAAAACGCAAAACCAGTGAGATTGAATCGAAATATCTTGAATCTCTCCCCTAACTCCATCACTTCGGAAAAAGATGCCCCTCAGCGACCGCCAAGGCGTGACCGAACTGGAGTCCCTAGAGTTGCTTGTGACCTGTCCATGACCGGTCACCAGGGGATCTTTGGTCACGAACGGAAGATCCAGGTGATGAATGCATCACGGCTTCCGACGGCGAAACCGTTTGCCACATTCACCTCGTACGGTGCATGTTTGCGGTCTCAGTTTCGGCCAGAGAGTGCCGAAAAGCGGACGTCCAAGGGGGGCACCGAAGTAGAAACTCTCAGATTCAGTCACCGAAAGAGACCAACCCCCACCCCCAGCTGCTGTCCTGGCAGCTGCTCCGATCGCTCGGCTCGAGGCTCGCCGGCCCCCGCGGCCCGGGCCCCATCCCCGGAGCACTGGGCGTCGGGGCCAGCACAAACGAGGCCCCCGGAGAGCAGCCGCTGGGTGGCATTGAAGGCAGCCTGCTTCCATCGAGAGCTATTGTCACGTCAACGCTGATCTCACAACACTGATCGGTCAGAGAGACCCAAGGCCCGGGGAGCGAAACAAAACCGTTTCAATGTCCTGTCTGGACATCAGGCATGGGCTGGGAGGTGCAGTCAGGACACGTCTGGTCCCAAAGCGGTGCCGGGTACGTTTGAACGAAATCAAAGCCGGTCCCTACAGGGCTCTGAGGATCTGGAGATCTCTACAGATGGGTACTTGAAACCAAGCACCCGCTCTCATCTACCTCCACTGGCGGCCCACCTGCCAGTCTTGATATGTCTGAAGCCAGTGCTTCCAGTCAAGCAAACCAAGCAAAGACTTGGAGGGGTCAACATGAGCCGACATAGAGGAAACTTTTAGGTATATCACGGTATATCCCACTCCCAGTGACCATGGAAGATGGTTAGTAAAGACCTTTCTCAAGAAGAGTGATTGTCTTTTGCCAACTGCTACAGGTCTTTCTACACACTCTGCAGAAAACCAACCGCTTCCCAAAGGACGCCTTGCGTGGCCATGGAGGAACCAAACCACCCAACTCCATGGAACTATGCTTGTTTTTCAAGCCGGGAATCCATTGGGGATCGTTTTGGAACTGCCTCCCCCAACCGACTTGCAGAACACGATCGGCTTGTGGGTCCCCTTTTTCCGCCGGCGGCCATCGCCATCGACCCAGAGTGGAGAGAAGTGGCGGGTGGCGGGTGGCGCCGACGGCAAGGACCGGTCTGCCATGTCGTGGGTTCCATTGGCGGTCGAAAAAAAGAGAAGGGGATGCACCCAGAGGGAAAGAAAACATCACCCGCCTAGCAAAACCATGAAAAGCAAACATCACCCGGCGGTTCAAGAACTTCCGATCCTCAAAGCCATCCGAGCCTCCCCTGCACCCCCACTTGGTCATCTGGATCCTTTCTTCAGGTCTCCACCGTCCAAGGAGACTCGGTGGAGAAGGCCCGTACGGATGAATCCCAGGGGATTCGTCTGAAGGTTTGTGTGCCCAGCAGGAACACCCTGGATGGCCCAGTCCCAAGCAGAAAGAGTTCTGGATGGAACGAAACCCAGTCCCAGAAATCCTCCGTCAGGGTTTCATCTATGGCGCCCGCTGGCGCCCGCTGGCGCGCGCCCGGAACTAAACCAGAACTGTTTCTGCTTGGGACTGAGTGCGGACTCCCGTGCTGGCTGGAGATCCCCGCACGACTGTCCGGGGACACCCATGTCCCAGGACACCCATGTCCAGGATGGTCCTGGAAGATCTTTCCACGTTCCAATTTCTTCCTGACCAAGAGAGGTTGAGAGACCAGGACGTTCGGACCCTGGGATAGGTGGTACATATGGGATGGGCGACAAAGGGCTGTTCAACCTGTCTTGGGACCATGGAAGTGCGTGCGCCCGCCACACTCACCCACCTTCTTCCCTGTCATCGAGCCACGATGAAGATGTACTCCATCGCCCGATGAGGTGTTTGTACAGGAGGCCCACCGGAAGCAGACCGCACAAGGCTGGCGAAATCTTGGAGTCTGTGGAAGAACTTTGCAATCTTTTTTTTACATGTGCTGCTCATTGCTCACCTAGGTAGCTGACTCTAATATGGGGGATTGATATTATACATTTTGAAAGAATCCGAACACCTGATTGACTCACTTCGAAGGCGTAAGGAGGTCTAGACTTCTGGACGCCGTTCTTCGCACAGGATGCTTTCGCCATCGTTCATCCAATGGTCACAGGGACCCGGCCGCAGCCTGCGCGGGGAAGCTGCAACTCATTGACCCTAAGATTCCCCCATTGATTCGATGGTGTGAATCCCGAAGAAGCATTAGTTTTACTAAGGATTTTACCGAAATTTATGGGAAATAGATAGTCAGGGGGGTCTATAAACGACCCTTTGGGTGGTGCTGGTTACCAGGTCAACGCTGTTTCAATGGTCTTTCCTGAAGGCTTTCTACCGCCTGTTCCCTGTTGGAGGCCGATCCGGTGACGCTGCGTCCCACAGCGGCCGGATCCGGCTGAACAACATGGAGAGCCCAGGCCGGGCCCTTCGCTCCGTAAGAAACAACGCCCTTCTTTCCGCTCTCCCTCCTCCAAAACGTCTGGAAAAATGGGTTCGAGAGGAGGGACCCCCTTGATATATGAGGAACCTGCCATTCATTCGTTTGTCGCAAGGACTCGGGGTGAGCTGGGAGCTGCGTTTGGGGAGATCCCAGCTCTCGAGCCCCAACGCACGCGGAGTTGGGTCAGGACGGTTGAACGGTTTCGGCCGGCAGGTGAAGGGGTGCCAAGAAGGACTGCAATGAACGAGGCCAAGCCGCAGAGCTGTTCAAAAGAATTGGTGAAGCAAAGGAACTCCCTCTGGGATTTGAGTGGGGTGGCCCCAATACACCCGAATTGGGGTGAAAGCAGGCGATCCAGGTTGGACCTGGAGGACTCCAAAAACAGCTGAAAACCATACTGCCGACTGCCGACTGCCACCTCCACAGAACTCCAATGTCACTGCCGGATCACACCAGAGCACCACATGGCAGTCCACAGAACTTCAATCAATTCGGCCCAATGGTGCACACATAGCTGGACCCTCCAAGAATTGTCCAATGGACTCCCCCACACTACCTATGAGGCTATAATTAGGCTTCCAAACAGGGCACCCCGACAGGAGGGTAGCTGGCCCCAACCTTGCTTGACCGACCTTGGTTGATGGTTGACCTCTCGACTTGTCGGTGCGGCGACCCCGTTCTCGACCTCATCGTCGGCTGAGGCGACTTCCCACCTGCAAATGGGTCTGAACACCCGGCCGAGGCTCCGGAAAAGCTTCGTTGACCACCAAATGAGGAGAGTAAGGTAGAGTGATTATACTTTTATATAACTCAAAGAAAAGAGCACATTGGATTGCATAACCTCTTCCTAAGAGCGGTGAAATATTCATCAACGGTCTATATACATCTACGCGGCTTTTTGGGCATCCAAGTTTGGACCCACATCCATCTGGTGCCCTCTGCGGCTGTCTGACCTCACCCTATACTCCTCCGCATGGTCGGAAGATTTCATGGTCTCGATCCTGAACCGCCATGGCTTTTTACTAAGGATGTTACAAACCACCAGGTGAAAAAGTATGTGTTTTTTATGGTTTTGGACTTCCAACCAAACGAACTCCACATGTTCTTGTAATCCTGGAGTACACCCCAAACCCTCCATAAAGGTGAAAGCACTAGGACCTTCCAACAGGTGGAAGTGCAGACAGGTGATCCACTGACTTCCTGGGTCAAAACCCCCAACCCCCCAGCCCTTGCGTCCCAGTGGCCCAGCCAACCGCCGGGGTCACCGCTTCCACCAACTTCGCCGAGGCCCGTCGCGCGCCCGAAGCCACGCTGCTGGTGACCTGCCCAGTGAGGACCGCGAAGACGATCGAAGCAATCCCAAGAGAGGTTCAGTGACCCTGCTTCGCCCAAAAACCATTCGTTAGGGTCCAAAAAACCACCTGTCGGAGGGTGCTGGCAGACGAGAGTGCTGGTCGGTTTTGGGGGACTTGGAGGCTAGGAGGCCTGTGCGTTTGGGTGGTTCTTAAGCGATCAACGAAGGCATTGCAGAGGAGATGGGAATCGAGGGAGTAGGTGTCACTGTAAGGGGAGCCGATTGTAGAGTCACTTCATTTGTTCTGCTCGAAGTCGGCACCGCTCTGCCGGGACCTGAGCATGTCCTTGCTTCAGGCGCATCTTCCAAAGCATCCAAAAACAATTCCTGCACACTGGGTCACTGGGTTCTGCCAACTTTTCCTTCCATTCCAGTCACTTATCAGCATTTTCGTGCATGAGCAGATGCTTGCGAGCACTTGCACAGTTCACCTTGACACTGCACCAGCAATCTACATACTCGCTACAGAAACGATCTTTCAAAGCCTCGTTGATCACGTACTGAACTGGAAGGTTTTGACAAACAGGAGACAAAAATTGCGTAAGAGGTGGGGAACTGGGGAGCGCAAAGACTGCAGATTGTGTGTAGCATCTGGCATTGGAAAGGAAGGTTGTTCCCGCGTACTGCCGTGGGCATCAAGGGCACCTGCCAGATCCACGCATGGTCGCCTCTTTTTGTTGTTGCATAACTTCATTGGTCAGAATTGAAAAGGTGAAGAAACACTTACAGTATATTGATTTTTCAATTGGTTTTGATCCGTCAAAGCCCCATTCCAGGTCCAAGGTCTTCGAACTCCCACACGGGTCGGCCCATTGTCGACAACTCGAAGCGGCGAAGATCGGCGAAGTGTTGTTTCCACATCCCGCGCGTTCAGCAAGCTGTGTCGCATCATGCTTGCACTGCTTGCGCTCTTGACGCAAGTTTGCAGCGCAACACATTGCCAGCCGCATTCTGCGGGGCCCTCCAGCAGCGCCAGCACCCAGGCTGCAAAGCGCACACGGCCACACATCTGGCAGCACCAGCACCCAGACTCCAAAGCGCACACAGCCACACATCTGGCAGCGGCGCCTTGCATGCAGCTACTTATATCCCCTGCTTTGCGCGCCTTCAAACAGGGACCGCAATGATGCCCAGCCACCTGCGCAACAACCCCTCGCAATGCAAATTGCCCATCCCCACATGATTGCAGGGCATTCGACAGCTTACGCACTTGGGGACGATTTCTTCAGCACATCCAGGGAGCGTGATTTTCTGGTTCCAGAGCTGATGTTTTTACAGGTCAAAGAGTTTCCATCGAGGAAGTTGCCGCACATAAAACAGCGTACTCCTGCTCACCAAGGGCACTTGATCTGTTTCGGGCCATCCTGACCAACTCTGTGGATAACTTCTGGTTCCTGCGCCGTCGCATCATCCAGAGTTCCCACCCATCTATGTCATCAGCGGCATCAGCGGGCAAGCTTGCATCCAACCTTTCTGTGGAGGCACCGGCATGGCTCGGAGCGTGCATCACATCATGCCCTTCCATTGCCAAAGGCATCATTCCTTGTGGAGGATGGATCACCTCTTCCAAACCCTGCCCTGCATGTTGGACATGTTTTGCGACTGGCGTACTGAGGGCGCAAACAGCCAAGACAGAACTCATGTCCACAGTCCAATATTCCCACACACCGCACATCAGTCTTGTCCGTGATTGCGTATTGAACTTCAGAAGTGCTCCATAGCAAATACTACAGTCCCCTTAAAAGCCGGCTTCAGCACATCTTAATCGTTGCCGATCCTTCAGGCTGCCACGCTGATCATCAAGTCATAGACGAGAACTTATAGTTGCCTAACTGAGAAAATTTGGGGTTTGGCTTTTGACATGCAAGCCGCAAGCCAACGGAGGAGCAGACAGGATGCGCCGTCACACACGTGACAACCGCGGTCCTGACAGCCTCTGCTGGAGGAACAGGGATGTCACCAGGCAGGCCGGCTGCAGCCATGCAACGGCCGAGCTCTTCTCGTTGGGGAAGCGTGCGCAAAGCGTCAACCACCGCCTGACGCATAGCCTCCAAAGCCTCGCGGTCCGGAGCTCGAAGTTGCCGTGCCGCACTATCTAAATACTCACGTGGGCCACCACACGTTGTGCTCATTGATCTGCTCTGACCAAGGCCCCCATACCCTGTCTGACGCAGGGGTGGCGGTAGCATCCACTTCCTGCCTTGCTTTCCAATCTTTCCACAGACGGGCTTGGGACTGTCAATTTCTGCGAATGAAAGAGCAGGCAGGCCACGTTGCATGGAAACCGCAAGGCCCGGGAGCATGGAAACACGAGCGCGCCAGTATAAGGCGCTTTGTATATCAGAGGAAAGTATGTGAAGAATTTCAATGAAAGAGGTGAGTGGCATAGATGCACCTAGCACTCAAAGTAAAGTAGTGGCAAATAATTGGGCCACACGGTGCGCAACTCACGAAATACAGTGAAGCACTAAGCATCGTGGGCGCCGCCCATCATCCGCTCCACAGCGACACTCCGCAGTGATCCAGTGATCCAGTGGCACGGACTCCCGCAAACGCACTTTCCACCAACGCTGCGCACCTCCACCTCCGTTTTCGGCGACATAAAACACACTAGTAGCGACAGTTACACACTTTGGCAACCTCCAGCTGGTTTTCCACGACAGTTACACACTTTGGCAACCTTCACCTTATGTTTTCGGCGACAGTTACACACTTTTGCAACCTCCACCTTCGTTTTCAACGGCAGTTATACACTTTGATAATCAATTTGTCTTTAATAAAGCAGCAGATGCAGCTATTTGCTCGTATTTTGATCTGCTCAAATCTCATGGCCATTTTCCAGGTCAAGAAACCCTCAAAATCTGGATCGGGCGTTCGAGGAGGCCTTTGGGGAGGTAATGATGGTAGCGGGACCGGGACCTGTTGGACAGTTATAGTCAAGTTATAGTGACTGAACAAGCCAATCATTGGTCGTGCACCTGAAAGTACCTCGCAAAATGGGTACGGTCCCGACACTAAACCCGGCCCGCATTCTTAGGGTTGATTCCAATGCTTTGCGACGGAGCGATGTATGGTTCTTTCCGTCGTCTCTTTGAAAACCCTAATGAAGAATAGGGGCGTCCCAAAAGACATCAACCCCGAGCAGTTCCATAGAGTTGGGTGCTCATATGCATGAAGGAGGTGCCCGGTGCCCCTGTCACATCACATCACCCCCGGAATTGCTTCATGGAGCCACACCAGTTGACAGAACAAAGGAAGAGATAGTAGCAGATCCTGACATGCACCACCCAACTCCATGTGTTCGTCCTGGTCCGAACTTCAGGCTCCTTCCACGCATCGTTGGGTGCGCGCAGCGATCAGTCCCGACGCGAGGGAGGGGGGTGCCGCTGGGGGCTCGCGGCCTGGTGACGCTGGTCGAGATCTCTCAAGGTGCTCACGCTGCTGCTCGCGAAGGCCTCAAGGACACTCGTCGGTGGGGAGTGTTCATCAGGTTCAGAAATATGTCCTCGGCCTCCCAATGGAGGTACATTACTGCTGGTCAACAACTCGAGGGTTTTTTCAGAAACTCTCCAAAGAGCTTGCTACTTCAGACTGCAAAGGGTCAGCTTTGTGGAAGTCCCCACTCATGGGCTCCCAAAAGCCAAAGAAAAATACAATTAGAGCAGACAGAAATTGCCATCCTGTAGCAATAGCTTGATGGAAGGCTGTCCAGATGTTGAGCTTTGCAACCTTGAGGAGGATTCCATACCTCTTCCATACCACCAAGTATTTAACGGAGGGTACCCCGGGGGCTACCTGGCTTGACTTGACCACAGAAACTACTGAGGTCAATCTACCCTTCTTCACGTTTCTGGCTTCCCTGAACCCACGGCCCTGTCGCAAGCGCCCGGCCAGCGCCGCCTGGGTCCGTTCGGACACCCGCCAGCGCTCGTCCAGGGAGCGGACCTCGGCGAGTCCGCTGAGGTCACCAGCGAGTGTCCGATCGACCGGTCCGCGGTCCCGGGGTAGGTCGAGGTGCTTAGGGGTGCTTGTGTTTTTTTTTTCCGAGGTCCAAAAGGCCCGTGGCTGGTTTTTCTGCTTTCTAAGCCCGCCTCACTTCCTTCTTGTATCACTTCCTTCTTGCACATCCAAATCCTCATTAGCTTCAAAGACTTTGGATCAAACTTTAAGAAGCTGCAAGCTTTGTCAAACATCAAAACCATCCGGTTCCAAACGTTTGGCTTGTCAAACCGCAGCATATCTTTGGAACCTCAAACCTCCGCCGGTGACCGGAAACGGCGCCGACCGCGAAACACCAAGGCACGCCGCTCAAGGCCTCGGAGGCGCGGTCGGCCACGCGGTGCTGATGCGCCACCTGCTTCACGTGCTCCGCCGCCTGGGAAGCGAAGCCGTGCCGAAGCGGTGCGGGAGCCGAGAGACATGGCGTGCGACGAGCGTGCGGGGTGGAGGTGGAGTTGCATGGTGGATGTTAACAGGCGATAACCTGCTGAAAATGGGCCATGGGTGATGGGTTAAACATAGTTATGGGTTACGAGACACCATGTTCAACACAAGTCTTGTTTTGGGTGAAGTCTTCCTTGAGGATGCCTTTGAGCATGGCAATCTTGGAAAGCAACGTGGCCTGGAAGGTAAACAAAAGTCTGGTTATAAGGTCCTACTCGTGAGTACAGCTTCTCTTCCGTTGTTGTAGTGAGAATGTCAAAGTGTCTGGCAGACGTGACCATAGGTCTGGCCCCCGTGCTGTGAGACACAGCCAATGGGCTGTTACTTATTTGCAAAGGTGCAGAACTCAGTGTAGAGAGTAGATGTCATATTGTCCAAAAGGAAATCATGGAGAAGATGAACGTGGGGTGGACCCTCTTTCCGATGTTCTGATGGTTCTAATGGCTCAGAGGTCTCTGTCAAAGCGCCAAACACAAAGGGTGTGGACCCTCTTTCCGGTCTACCAGGACGGGGTGTCACTGTCTGGGTGTGTACTACCCCATCCCTGCCTACACATCCCTTCCAAGATGTCCAAGCAGGATGGCCCAACTCAAATGCTCCGCAGGTGGACTTTGTTTGGAACATCTTTGAGCTGGAGGGCACAAATTCTAGCCATGTAGACATCATGTAGACTCTTGGATTAATACACACACACCAGTTGAATTGAAACACCTCTTCATATATAGAGTCTACACTACATTACCAATATGAGTGTTTACATTACGCTTACCATTATGTATATATATATATATATGGGTGTGTATTCATATGTGGGTTTATTCAAGTTTATTCATCAACCAGGACCTTCCAAGTCCGGTGGTTTTAGAAGCCGACCACAGGTGGTGAACCTGGGCACCGGACTTGTCACCAGGAAGCACCTGTGAAGTCGGGTCCAACCACATCCCCGCCTGAATCCCCATGCAGCCCATGGATCTGGCGGCCTCCCCCGCGCTGTCCTGCGTCCGGGTCCCGGGGCGGAGAAGACCCGGTCCCGGGAGGGTGTCGGGTGGAGAAGCGAGGCTTGATGCGATGAGAATCCACAGCAGGGAACTGTGAGTTGGACCAGGTCTTTGAGTCAGACACAGGGGGTATGTCATCCGAAGACAGGATGGATCATGTGAGATGCAACCCTGGGAGTCCAAGACCATGTTAAAATGGTCTTGAGGTGTTCCGAAAAGGAATGTCCTTTACTCTGGTGGTGCCAAAAAAATCGTCGAACTGGACTTCTAGGATGTACCAATCATCACTCCTTGTGATGGTGGAGACTCTGACACCCCGAAATTCCGATGAAGCTCTAAATCACAGTATATTGAACCTCGGGAGAAAAATTGGATCAAAAATCAAAACCACCCTAAACCCAGAACTCCAACCTCTCCCTACAAGTCCAAAGACCCAGCAAAACCAGGTCGTTTGCTTGTTTGAATTGAATGACCAACTCCAGTGAAACGAGGTCATTGACCTGTAGGGTCTGATCGAAACCTCTCAGTGGTCCACCAAGACCCACCCCCTGGCGAAACTGGACCCACCTGGCGAGTCGTGGCGTAGGCCGCGCCCGCCGCCAAGCCAAGTGCACACACAGGCGCATGAAGCACCAGTAACCCAGCAGCGCCACCTCAGATTTTCCAAGGTGCGCAGGCAGGACCTTCCCATTGACCTCTTCAGGATGGGTATTCCGTGACCTTTTCAAGACCACCCTCCGTGACCGACCCGCCACTGGGATCTGGGAAGGTCGGAGTTGGAGGCCCACAGGATTCCGGGTTTCTGATGCCCGCACCTATATGAGTCCATCATTCAGGTGTCCCAAAACTGAGTCATGCTGAGGTTACGTGGGTGACAAGTATACAGTATAAGATATTAAGTCATAGAACAGATGGATTCTTCACCAAACGTAGGCAGCGGAAAAAGCGGAAAAAAAAACATATAACCCTACAGGTCAACGACCTCGTTTGACTGGTGTTGGTCATACAAAAGCATTACTCCTACGGAGGTCAAGTCGACCAGGCTTTATATGCCTGGAAACCCAGCTCCCAACCCGAAATTCATGGATGGAACTCCACAGTCCCAGTTCCACTTGCTATGTAAGCGGATCCCCTGGCGCGCCAGAACTGGGTTCCATCCAGAACTGTTTCTGCGTGACTGGGTGAAACCCAGGTGCTTTGGACCTCGGTTCACCCACCCCGACGCAGCGACCGTGCTTGCGACCGTCCGACGGTCCGCGAATCCGACGAAGACTCCCTTCATTCGGGGTCCACGCCGCTGTGCGGTCTGCGCAGCCACTCCCGGGACGGGAGAGCAGCTGTCTGGTCGGACCCGGCAATATCTTCCAGTCCAATGGGACGAAGACATCTCTTTTTCTGTCAACACCTAAGAGCTAGAGGTTTTGTTGTGACATCTGGTGACCGTAAATAGGACCCGGCAGCCTACTGCTGGGGTACCCAACTGGAAGTACTGCTGGGGGTCCTGAAAAACCTCTGTTGGCTGGTCAGGTTTGGCTTATGCCGCTATGCCTTGGCGCACCTTGGAATCTGGATCGAGAGGCCCATGGACTCCTTTTTTGGAGCAAAGCATTGGAGAGATGAAGACCACCACCCAGACAGCCATCTGATCAGGCGAACAGCTGTTAATTATACTATACATAGAAAAAGTCCGGTTCGACTACAGCAGGGATGCACGATCCATGCAGGTGTTCGTCGAAGCTATGGCCTTGTCAGAAGACTGCGGTGCTTTATCCTGGCCTTGGATTCGTTGAAGGGGTCTCCGCGCACACGCGGGTCCCTGACTTCTCCAACACAGATTGCCTCAGTTTCAGATGCCAAGCAGGCAGACTTTGCAGATTTAAGCAAAAACCTTGACAGATTCGCATCAGTGCTTCGGCTGCGGCATTTGTGGGTGGGTACTGTGCATCTTCTGGGCTATCAGGACCTGGTATGACTGAAGAATGCAGGTCCTGAGAATCTGGGGACTGCCAGGACCGGGTGTGCAATGGACTGCCTGAGAGATGTCCATGTCCAGGACACCCAGACCGGATGGCACCCACAACACGCCCCTTCAGCCCAACCATCCTCCGCCGACCCTCGTCCCACGTCCACTGCACGTCCGGGCGGCTCACTGCAGCGGCGGAGACGGCCTTCTGCCGCCAGTTGGGCCTTGACTGGCTCGGCTCCGCCAAGGCTTTAGAGGGTCCGATGAAACAGAGGCCCACGTGACCGGCCGAGCAAAAGAGGTTAAGTGTACCTTGCAGGACGTAACCTGCTATAGCACCCTCCAACAGGTCACCACCGGAAGACGTTCAAGTCTGCATGTGCCTCCGAAACCTGTCGAACGGGCGGTAATGGGACTCCCTGGAGGTCGGTCCACGTGGCCGGCCACGCCGTCTGGATGGGGGTCGGTGGTGGAGGACTGATGGTGTCGGTGGCTCTGTTCCGTGACCGTCCGACCGTGACGGACCGGTTTTTTGACGTTTAGGATCTTTAGAAGAACCCATTGCTTGGGTGGTGCCTGAGAGTGCTGTTTTTGTGCTTCTTGTATGTTGAACAAGTAGTCACCAATTGTCCAGATGGTTTGAAAGGGGAGGATTCACAAGAACAATCTAATGTGGGGACAACGATGTGTCTTTACGTTGCTTTGCTTGAACTATCTCGAACTGTTCCTTGACTACCGTGAATCCTGAAGAACCACCATTTCACGCAAGGCTTTGAGCAATAACACGAGGTTCTCGCTATGGTTGAAATAGTTTGAAATACAGTAATCCAGTCATTACATTGGAGCACATAACCCCTTACAAATCATTGCTATAAGGCTTGGTCCTGGCAACTAGCGCCCTGTTCAATGGGGTTGACATGGACACTGTCTCCTGGCTGAGGTTTCAGGCTGGTCGGCGGAAGAAGAGTGGCAGCCTGGCAGACCTCAAACCCGTCCTCTCGGCACCCGAAACCCCCGTCCGGCTCCGAGGCTCCCCACGAGGAGCCCTCGCTTCGCCCCCGTGGGTCACGCAGGACCTGGAAGCCATCGGCGTCCTGAGCAGATGGGATGGCGGTGTCTGTGATGGCTGGGGACGAGACGTCCAGACGCAAGGAGGTGAGGGGATACGTGCGCGATAGGTCCAGCAACTCCCCTTGCAGTTCGCATCAGGGGAATCAGTGGAGTGAAAACCCACCTGTTGGGTATTTCGGAAAATGGTCATGCCTTCGGGGTCATGCCATCTACTTCCAGGGAATATTCCAGAGTGTACAAGTATGAAAATGATGATCATTGGGTCTGTCCAACACCAAAGACTCCATGTCACCTATGTCACCGGTCCAAAGTCCGGAAGCCATGGTGGGATTGACCACACTGTCACACCGACTGGCGACTGGCCCGGTCCAAACCTCACTCCCTAGGTGGACCCGACTCTACCGGTCTCTTCTGGTGGCTGGTTTGACTTCAACGGATGTTGGAAGGTGGTGACCTGGCAGTGAGGATGTTGGAAGGTTCAGCGCTGGTTCATTCCTTTTCTATATAGAAAAGGAATGAACCCCTCCCGCAGAAAGGTATTGGAAACCATCCACTTTTCGATAGGCAAACCGGTCGCTCGCTCCAGTCGCTGCGGCTCATCGGAAAACGGGCGCTTCGGTTCCGGACCTGGCGGAGGTCTATGTCCGCTTCACGTGCCAAAACATGGACAAACTCTTCTTGGACCCGACTTCACAGGTGCTTCCTGGTGACAAGTCCGGTGCCCAGAAACCACCTGTTAGGCTTCTAAAACCACCGGACTTGGAAGGTCCTGGTTCTTGGATGTAGCTGTCCAGGAACCGTGAAAAAGTGAAAGAGTGTTCCCCATGCCAGGGGATGAAAACCCCCATTCGGGAAAATAGAGATCACCCGATCGGCCCTAGACCTTGAAACCCTCTTCAAAGCCCTTGCAAACCCCGATCGGCGGAAGTTCTCCTGTCTTTCCACACCGTGGCCCAAGACCAAGCTGTCACTGCCAATGTGCGCCTCGGTCACAGCAAGCGTTGGGACGATGTAACGATGTGCTTGTCGAAGAAATCGGGTGTTGTTGACACCCGGCAGAGCTATCTTTAGCAGGCAAACATAGGCAAACCACATCAAACCACTAGTTCCTGCCAAAAGAAAGGTTTGTCCTGGTTCCTGCCCATATCGTGGGCCGCCTGGGATCCTGAATAGCAGTGATCGGGTAGATCTGCGCTACGTCTAGCAGGTGACGAAGACTTCTGCAGGAAGTGCCAGAAGTCGTTTGGCCCAAGACTACCTGGACAATCCTGTCTGGCTATCCTGTCCGAGTAGTATTATGGGTAGTCCAGCCAGGACACCCAGACAGGATGGTCCAAGACTACTATAAGTGGAGGATTCATGTTCTTGTTTTGGCATCACCAACATGTCAAGACACCCATTGATCGTCCTCCCCTCTTTCGACACGACATTCACATGCCTTCAAATCCATTCAATTGGGTTTAACTATGTGCCCTCCTCCCCATCCAATCAAACCACCGCCGTTCCAACCACCTCAACCAGCGGTTTTCTCCGCTGGTCACCGCCCTGACCCACCGTGCACTCCGCCACCGCACTCCCCCACCGCCGCCTCGGGTGGCACGGTGGCGAGGGCGCCTTCACCCAAGCTCTCGAGGTACACGACGCGGCCGTAGATCTGATCGCCACAGAGAGCCGCGGCACGGCGGCGCCGCGGGCGAGATGGCGAGATGGCGGGTGTGGGGGTTCCCAAAGACATACTGTATGTCTTGGGCACGGCAGGTTCCGGGTCTCCGGTCGGTTCCAGGTGTTTTTCATCGACTTCGGAGACTTCGGCGAGGGTGTTTTTTCAAAGGCGACGTCGAGTCGCAGGGGGGTTGAGGAGGGCAGGGAGACAGTGGGTGGCTACGAGACATTGATAGAATCTGGAAACAGGAAGAGATTCAGCTGGAAAAAGCCGCCTCCCAGGCGTATCCCTACTACCTGGTTCGGAGGGTTCCGGCTTAGGAGGGATGAAACTTCACACACATTGGAAACACTGCTGCCATTTCTAGCTGTTTCAAGAAGGCACGATTCAAGTGTTGTTCTCTACTAGTAACAAGAAGCTACCAGTAGCTCTTGGCATTGCTACTAGGAACAAGAAGCTACTACCAGTGGAGCGCCATTACTATCATTACTACAAGTGTAACAAGAAGCTACTATCTATTAGATCACCTTTCTCTCTGTTTCATCGATCGAGGCACCGCAAGGGACCGAACACGAGTCGACACATCCATCGGTCTTTGGGGTCACGTCGGATGCTAGGCTGGTCTGGTCTGTTTGTCAGTGAACAAGGTCTCCACTCTTTTTTAAAGCCTCCGACATCGGAGACCTGTGAAGTCGGGTGTTAGTACATGCCGATGTTGAGAATCGGAAGACTTCAGTTCCAAAGGAGTAAGGAGTGGTTTCTAATCCCATCCAGGGGCCGTGGATGTGACAGGAGCACCCCCGACTTCCTCCAAGCTTGGCACCCAGTTCCTCCATGGAACTGCTGGTTTTCCTCGTGTTTTTTGAGACCACTGAGAGACGAACCTTGAAATACATCAAGTGTGTGTATGTGTCTGTGTGTGTGGGTCTCAAAACTAGAAGACACCTGGTTCGTGGTGAATCTGGGGAATGTAATTGGAAACCCAACTGCCACTAGTTGAGAATTACTTGCTGAGGGCGTTGGTTCCAACACCTCAAAAGACCAGTACAAACCTTCACAACAGCTCCTTCACGTGGCCAGAGCGTGCATGCCCAACCCCTATTGGTTTGCGGACGGACCAGTTTAAGAACACCAAGATCATCCAAGATCCAAAAACACGCCGTGCATGCGAGACGACTTGTGGTATCAAGAGTGATTCCTTTGATTGTGCGATGACTCACATTCTGTGGCATAAGTCTGTGAAGAGCACAAAGACTCCCTAAGACCCCTGACAATCCTTTAGGAACAAGAGAGAATCTGGAAGATGTCTTGCCCTATGGATCCGCATACCCTCTCAGAAGGTGATCATGGTGATGTGACGTGTTCGACACTTTTATGTAGGCTTTGAGGGTCCAGTTGTACCTTCTGAGAAGGTGGCCATGGATCCCTCTATATATTATAAGGTAGGATTTACTGTAAGCTTTAAAGATCTTTCGCTGGATCGGTTGAGAGGCGGTTTGGCACTGGAGCAAGGCGCAGCTTCGTTTTTGAAGCAGCCTATAGGGTTGTAACCTCTCGGAACTTGGGATGTGCACTTGAGGGATCCAAAGCTTAACTGCCACTACGCCTCAATCACTGTCCCACGTCAGAAAGAGGTGCCGGCGCCTCCCCGGCATGCTTGGCCAACATGGCACGGTCCGGGTTGCCTCATAGCGCGGGGCGGAGGTGGGTCGACTGGAGGTGTTCACAGCACTGACACTGAAGCAACACCGACTCGGAAAAGAATCTGTGGGTGTGGTGCCAAAATTGAAGAGGCCTGTGACTTCTAAAAGTCCTTGTTCCACCAACTACAGTTCTTAGGTTGGCGCTTTCCGGAAGACTCTGACTCTGGCACCTTATGAGCTACAGATGTTGCGGCGAACTCGTTTCCGACTCCCCAATCCGGTGCTGAGAATCACCTGAAAGGACCCATGCAGGGTTGGGATTTCAGGAGCTAGAAAAACCAGGAACCCCCTAAGGGGCTTCTTTTGATGGCTCCATCAACTTCTTCATCCAATCGTTCATCAGGAGTCACAACACGTTTCACTTAGATTTTAAGGGGTGTCCATTATCATTAACCACCCTTTTTCGGGGTATAAAAACCTGACTGACTAAACCAGGTCCTCGAGGCTTGAGGCTGAAAAAACGCCTCCAAGAAGACCCGAAACCTGATCACTGAACAGGTTTTGGGTCTGCAGGTAAGGGGCAGGTAACCCAGAGGGAAAATCACCAACAAAACCAACTACTGTAGTTCCAGTTCACGTGTCCCAAAGTTGCGAGTGTGGCGGTTGCACCAAGTCCAGTCAGCCAGTTCATTTGGAAAGATCCTCTCGAGTCCTCTCTCACCTCCTTCGGACGTCGGAAACTCAGATCTCAGGGTCCTGTCAAAACCTTGCAAAAATCAAGGTGCTACATCTAGTGATACCTGATACCTACCAACCTCCAACAAAACAACGTACTGTGGTCTTTGGCCTCGTACCTCCAGCATGGCACAGCCCGCACCCCGTTGGAACGCCGTGGGCGGTGGGGGCGCCTTCCGGGCACAGAGCGGCGGCCTTCGCCATCCGCTCCGCCGCTTGCCGGTACACGGACAAGGCCTCGGCGCGGGCTTCAGCGCGAACGCCACGCGGCGTTAGGTGACCCCGTGTGGGTCCAGCTTCAACATCTACCGCCTTTTCTCGGCAAATATGGCAGTCCCCTCTATAAGTCATGTCTGGATATGTCTGGGACATACTTCGATGCCATATTACATTCGTGACATTGGGCTTGGGGGAGCATATACAGTCAATCTGCCTCATATATCCAAAAAAAGAGATCCCACTCAATTAAGTCGTGTCTGGCGAACCATCTCCGTCAACAGGACGCACCTCTCTCCGTCTCCTCTCCTCACTCAGTCGCACCTGCTCCGTCTCCTCTGCACGGTCCAAGGCGATCGCGGTGCGCTCGATCTCCGAGGCCTCGCATCGCAGGCACGATCCGTCGGGCTCCGCGCGGTGGTTTTCAAGGACAGAACAACACCAATCGCGAATCGGTCCCGTGTTATAGTCTTGTATAAGTATGTGATAGTATTATATGGATCCCTACAAATCCAAGTACCTTCTTAGAAGGTGAGGAAGGAGACACGCTTATGTAGGTTCGGAGGGTCCAAGTAGCTTCTGAGGTACGGTACGATGGGATCCCTAGGGTGCTTTTCGTTGCGGACGTCCCCGATGACGATCGGACGAAAGGTGGAAGATGGCAGGAACTCCACCCTGTTCTTGCCTTTTGGAGCCAAAGGGTTCATGTGCACTGACTTCGGTAGGTTGCCTGGATCCGGAATCTGTCGACGGATCCGGATGCGGCCTCGGCGGCCAGTTCTGCAAAGGCGGCCGAGAGCACCCGCTCGTCCTGGAGACGTGGCCTCCGTGGCCTTTCACTCCACCGTGCCCTCGGATTCTTGGCCCAGCATGAATTGAGGAATCCCGAAGAATCGTGGTCTTACTGAGAACTTTACAGTAGATCATACTTAAAATGCTCTTGGAATGTATAGGGTATACTATAGACTATCCCAGATAGGGAATCCAGGTGATGGGTCCTTTTTCAGGTCACAAAAGAAACTTCTCTTAGTAGCAGTTGAAAGGACCAGACGTGATGATTGATGTTGTAATTACCAGTCCAACTTCGTCAAGAGCTTCTAGGGTTGGCCAAAGGGGAGGAGCATGGAGTTCTGTCTCAAACACTCAAACAGCCCGAGAACCGAACCGAACAGCATCAACCAGTGCCCTGCCTCTGCGTCGGCTCCCGAGGTGATCTGACGCGGCTCCGGTGGCGACATGACGCACATCTGGGGAAAGGTACCCTCCATCTACCAGGACCTTCCAAGACGTCTCCGAAATGGAGGCTAGTATGCAGACTTGAAATGTCACAGGTGGTGACCTGTTGGAAGGTCCAGATGACATCACACCGGATGACATGGGAGAGCACAGGCGGCTCCTCAAAGCACAGCCCTGTAGGACTCAGTAGGTGTGAGAGTGAGTCAAAAACTATCCTCTATCAACAAGCCGAATATATACCAGGACCCTCCAATAGGTGGTTTTTGGACACCACTTAACCTCAAAGAGGCTACTTATAGACACTCCTGGTAGAGGAGAAATGTCTTCCATTGCCTGTTGGCCCCAAACCATGCGCACCATGCACAAAAATAATACCTTGAAGACATGGGACCATCTGGAATCAATAGGAAGCCCTAATCGGAAAAAGAATTAAGAGCTAGTTTGCAGTGGTTCAGAGTAGATGGCACTGGGCTCCCAAGATGTCTTTTGGATGGGGTCCATGGGTAGCGGCCCAAAGCTACAGCCTTTAACTAGGCACGACTGACACCTCGCCGTCGCTACCGGTACCGGTGGGTACCCGTGTTCATCGTGGTTCCCTCGACCCGCCTTTTGCAGCCGTTCTTCCGACCGAACTTGAACCCCCGAGACGTTGGTTCGGTCACTTGACGTTTGGGGTCCAGTGGTTTTTGGTTCCGAGGCATGGCCCAGGCCATCTCTAAGGTACACGGTATATGCACATCAGGTCCACATCCATTGCAGGAACGACCCAAACTCCGCCAGTCTTCCCTCGCCAATCTGACTGAAAGGTAAAGTAAGCATTCTACCACCCTAAGAATACTTGGACCTGGCACGGTAGTGGTCGGACCCTCCGCAGGTTCTTTGGGTACCACCCTCGAGGTCTTTAGGGGAGTACATGAACCACCCCTTGTGGGTCCTGGTAGTCATCCTTGAGTGGGTACATCATGTCCGCCTGACTAACGGTTGACTAACGGTGATTGACATGTTCCATCTGTTTGATCTACTTGTGGGTCACCGGAGTAGATGGCACTGAGCCCCCAAGATATCTTGAAAAGATGGAGGTCCATATCAACCACCTAACTTGAGGATTGTGCCATTTACTTTCAATCCACTATACTTGTGGTTGATCTACTTGTGGATCACCACACATCCCCAAAGCCAAGGCCTTGACCCTAATTAGTCTTCCAAGACAATTATTCAATTCAAATGAGAGGTTGACATGGTTTTGTAGTGTAAAATCCGTCAATCAATGGTGCTCTTCGGCCAAAACCATTCCAGGAACCCGGTGAAGCGGCCGTATGTATAACTGATTCGCAGAAACCCATCCCAGTCGTCCTTCCACGCGCTACGCGTGATGAGTGACCGCGCCTGTGTGACCGTCACGCTGCGAGGATCGGGTTCCCGCTCAAACATGGCCATGGGCTGCGACCGACCCCGGTTCGGACCCTTCTGAGATCGCTGCTGGTGCGAGCATGGACCTGGTAGACAGGCTATGGACATAGGACACCTGGTCGAAGCAGTCACTTGGACCAATGAAGGAAGCACTTTCACTGCAGGACCGTTATGCGTCGAAGGGCTGCGGCTTTGAGGTCTGAAGAAGGGCGGAAAAGCCTCGGAACGGATGTAAAATGGTCTGATCAAGGGCCCGAAGAAGCAGCCTAGCCGCTTTTGTAGCTTAGCTCCAGTGTGCTTTCTTCAGTGTTTGTTCTTGATGGTGACTCTTCCACCACAGTGGCCTGGAAATCACCTTTCACCCACTTGCATATTATATATATATATTGTTTTTATACATATATATATATATATCAGTTCTCACGATCTGCCCAGAACACTCCAGTCAAGATCCATTCAAGTTCGCTACTGTGGGATAACTTGAGGTAATCACCTGGCTTCCAAAACTTCATCCACCACGCGTTTGTTGTTGAAAGCATTCCAACACCTCAAAACAATCCCCACTGCAAGGGGCGCTGCGGCTCGAGCCAATAGCGAGATGTTCCAATGCCCAATGGATCCCGCCAGCGACCCTCTACCAGGAATAAGTCTGCATCAAAAAGCCTGACTCTGTTTCAGGACCCTCCAAGAGGTGTCTAGAGGTGTCCAAAAACCACCTGGTTTAGTTGGATGCTGGTGGACTTGGAGACCTGGTTCAGTCGGGTGCTGGCGGACTGGGGTTCGTCTTGGAGTCCAAACCTCGCTGTTCGACCACATCGACACTCGGAAAACTCGCATGTTAGTGGAATGAGTTCACCCCACCTCTCTTTGGTTCAGAAAATGGCCCCAAATCCCATGCCATGAATCGCCCACCATGGCCGAACCGTTCGGGGAAGGTACCTCTTCCAAAACCGTTTAAAGTCTAGAGGATTTAAAATCTCGACCTTGCTTTGCTTGAGGAAGAGATTGGAAGATCAACTGCACTTCTGAATGTCGATTAGTATCTCTTCCTCATCTGAAGATCCACAGATCTTCCTGCTATCCTATGATTGGTCACTTCTGAATGCGGATGAGTACCAAGTGCTTGAACCGACCGACACCCCCGTCGACCGACTCTGTGCGTCCTGGCCACTCAGACTCGGCCACCAGCTCCGTGGATCCCTAAGCCACCCAGTTCTCCACAGTCGCCACACGGCTCGATCCCACTTCCACCAGCTCAACCCCTACTACGGCCACCGCACCCAGCTCAGCTCTCCACACTCTCCAAGAACGGCTCGGCTCGGGCCTTGAGTGCCTTGGAGTCCACTTTGGGCGAGGGCCCACAGCCCAACTGTCCGAACACCTGGCCCGTCGGGCCGCTGGGCCGCGGACTGGACCGTTGGGGACCGGGGCGAAGACATGGACAGCGCGGGAGACCCCGCAGGCGACCAAACCGAGTGCCGCGGATGGAGTTGGAGGTCGTTGGGACGCCCAAAGAGGAAGGGGGTGATGAAGAAGGGTACGGACATGGTGGGTCCATGATGATAGGCGTAAAGGCTATAGGCGTAAAGGGGTATACGATGCAAGGGAGGGAGCAGAGGTGGTGCGAAACAGCAAGCACTGGCTGCTTCTTGAGGATTTGGGGTCATGGTTTTGTTGCGTCGAGCAGGGAGGAGGGAGGAGGACCTTTGATCAAAGGGTAGGAGCTGATGTGGCACACGGTACATTCAACCAGAAACAAATAGACTGCATGGATCCCTTTTCACGGACCAAAACACCCTGGAAGGAGTTATCAGCTGCGCTTGACCTGAGGGGCGACGAAGGCTGTTCGGTCGAAACATGGATTGCAAGCTTGAAGCCACCCTGATACTGTCATAACCTGGAGGAGATAGCAGTGACTCACTTCAGATCATCCGTGTTTCAGTCAAGGCACATCAACAGGCACATGGCGCAGTGACCGGACAGTCCGTCGGTTCTCCGGACGTAACATCAAGCGAGTGGTGCTCACATGGTGCTAGTGGTAGAAACATGCCAGGTGAAATGTATTCTCCGATGAACCCGTGTCAAAAAACAACATGTCAAGAAGTGTTGCATGAAGGGTGATAGTCTAGCCCCGGTTGTAGATGATCCCCTCTGAAGGCTCTTTTTGACCTCCCTTGGCGGCCTGCGACAGCGCGGAACCGCCCAGCACCGGCCTCAAAGGGGGAAAGGTGCGATTGGTGCCCAAAACGGGAAGTTGCGGCTCCCTCAAATACCTGAACATATAAATATTCCCAAGAAAACCGGGAATTCATTCGTAGGCTCATAGGCTCTTTCACTCGGCTTCTTTGGGACCCGACTGACCGGTTGTACCTTAGAAAGTGGGACATGATCCGTAACAAATATATTTGGTACCACGGTAACTATGTTCAAAGGTACTTTGAGACTCCAGGTGGGGAACATAACACATCACTCTACATATGCAAAACCAGGGCATTCTGGGGGGGATTTGTATTGTCAAACGCTGCAGGAAACGCAGCGTGACCGGGAGTCACGAACTCGACTCTTCGACTCTGAGAACTTCATCTTTTGGGCAGTTGTATTTTTGACTATAATTGAGGAAACCAAGTGCTATCGAAGCGAAGTGCAACGCAGCTGCCACAACAAATCGAATCGCGCTCTTTCCGGGTAGCGTAGCACAAACTGGCTGAAGATCTGGGGTTCGGGCCAAAAGGAAATGGCCCATCGGGAATTCACATGTCGACATCCATGCGAGAGTCTGTCATTGACATTCATCTTTCTTCTTTTCTTGCTCAAGAGTAGGCAGAAATGACAGGCTCGAGCGTGGATGGAACAAGGTAATCAGAATTGGCACCGTCATGTCAATGAGCTGGTGCTGGTTCGACAGCTTCGTAAACTCAACAGCTCCTTCCAAACGATGCCAAAAACTCTGACCGTCTTTGGAGAAACGTCCGAAGGTTGATCGGAGTGGCAACTCTTCCGGACTGAACCTGGGCTCAGGCGTTCTGTACGATCGTGCATTAAATGCAACTTGGATACCGAGTCCATTCATGGCATGCCAACCTCTCTTCTCACTCAAATGGGTGAGATGCGGGAGCAAAGGATCATCCGCCTTCAAGCGGTCACCCGGAAACACAGCGCATGCTGAAGCAGTTGAAGGCCTAGGCGCTTTGCCCTTGGCAACCTGCTTTTGAAATTCAGGTGAATATGAAACGCTCCAAGTTCCACTACTCAGAATCTTCCGAAGGTGGGTGAGGTCCATGTGTTTCGTTCCAGCGTCGCAGAACATGTTGGTGGTGGCAGTCCAACGCAAACTGGTGTTTGGTCGGCGAAGCACGGAGCGCAACCAAGCAACACTAAATGCCAACGATTTTTGGGTTCCAAAACTTGTGTCAGAATTGGACTTATCGAAAACATCTTTTGCATCCACCACCCCGGTCAAGGGCACACTGTTCATGCTCAAGTCTGCTTTGGGGCCAAGCATCTCCTTTCCCAAAACAGTAGCAACGAAACCACGAGCTAGCTGGCCCATGTCGAAAGATTCCTCAGCCGCTAACGTCTCAGCGCCGTACGAGGAACGGCACACTCTGGGAATGCGATGTGAGCGAGCGTCGATCACGTTGAAAATGCCAGAGCGTCCCTGAGTGAGGGCTTCATCCCCGAGCAGAATGAAGTGACATGCCTGAGAATAGACTTTCTCGATTGCGCTGCCTTCACTCGAGCCGTCTACCTTGACATTGCCAAGAGCTGCATCCGATACTGCCACAATTCCAGCTCTGCGATAATCCACTGGTCTAAAGATCAACTCAAAATCACCCGTTCTCTTGAACTCTCGAACCAACGAATTTGCTCGGAGGATGGATCCTATGGTGGGGGGAGATTCACCTTGGAGGGAAGACACCCCAAAAGCTAAGTCGAATCTCAGCTGCGCCACAAGCCACTGGAGGCTTCCAAGCACCGCGCGAAGCTGTCGGTGTTCATGAGCATCAAGAGGAGAGTTCACATTCCCCTTGCGATGCCGAGCAAGGAAGATCTCCTGCAAGTTCTGGTGGTACTCAATCATACTCAGTCGCACCGTTCCATCTGAGGCTCGACGAATTCGCTTCCCACACCAAGTGAAATCATTGCGATCTTGACTGCCAAAACCAAGCTCACTGCCAATCGCTTGCAAGCTAGCTTCTGCCGTAGGACTTCCAGTGAAGAGAAGGTCATCCACGTGCGCCACGATGATGCCTTCCAAGGGACGAATGCCACGGCTCTGCGCAGCGTCATCGGCTTTCCCCCAAAGACACCACATTGCACCATCAACCAAGGTGCGAGTCCATCCATGTTCATCCATGGAACGTGACAACCGCTTCCACCATTCTCTGGGAGCATCAGCAAGTCCAAATACCCCCTTCAACACACGGCAAAGCTGACCAGCTTTAAGAGGCAAAGAAGGAGAGGTCTTGGAGTTGGAGTTACAAATGTAGAGCTCTCGGTCAATGTATGGGTCACCTTTGAGGAAGGCACTCTTCACATCCGAGGAGATGATGGCCCACCAATTGTGGAAAGCAGCTACACAAAACAAAATGTGTTGAGCCAGTCGGGATCCGGTAGGTGCATCTCGTCGGAGATTTCCTTCCAAGTTGGTGCGGTCACGGAAACCAGGGACGACCAGTCTCGAAGACGGCTTGATGGGCAAAGGGTTGGTTGCCGTTCTGAGGCCATCGTGCTTGTCGGTGCAGACGAACCTAGGAACCAGAATGCGATCAAGTTCTTTCCGTCTGGCCAGATCACGACGAACTTTGGCGCTTTCTTCAAGGGTCAACACCTTCACCGCCTGGTTGTCCACATAGACGTTCCAACCACTCATAGCGGCATCTCCCCAAAGCTTCTGCTCTTCAGGAGTCATTTTGGACCAAATCTTTTCTTTCCGAGAGGCCTGAACGGAGAGAGCATCATGAGAAGCGGCTCCATTGGGCAGCTGTAGGCCAAGCTCTCGCAACAGGTGCCAATCCCGTTCACAAAGAAAAGCCCAACGCCCATCCCAAGTACCATGCTCAGGCTCTGAGAGGACATTACCTTCACGGCGGTCCAAATCAGCTTGAGCCTGAAGTCGTAGAAGAGGGTGCACATCCATTCTTTCCGACAAGGACTGCAACTCACCATGAGTCAAGACCAATGCTTCAAAGGCCGGCAAGGCAACATGCTGAGTCAGCAAAGCTGCATTCTCATCGGCTTGGCGCTTGGTACCGGCAGCAGGCGATGACTCTTCCAATTGTCGCTTGACACCGCGCTCAGCCTCCAGCTCATCCAAAGCTCGAGCCCTCTCCAAGGTTCGTGACAAAGAAGCTCCGGCAGGAGAAGTAGTTCCAGCTTGGGAAGCCTGCAGGATCAAGCTTGGCACCGGTGTTCCAGGAGCGGCGGAACTGGGTGCATCATCAACATGCTGTGCATCCATGCTCAAGGAAGGAGGAGAGGATCTCCCAATCAGAGAAGGCACAACTGACGCGGGAGGTTGCAAAGCAGCCACAATCTCGGAAGGTTGTAGGGCTCGCTGAAGTGGATCGTCAGGTTGGTCAACAGGTGGTTCATCATGTTCATGAACGTCATCAGCAATCAGCTCAGGGGCTTCCTTCTTTGCAGCCTGGATCACCTCATCAATGGCAGCCTCCCAAGAACCGGCGGCAATACTTTCCAAGGATGATGCTTTTCTCACATGCTCTAGCGGACATTTCGCGAGTTGACCTCGAAAGGAAACAAAGCAGTTGGCCGACAGCTCAAGACCATGTTTCCCTTCAAGCGCTACCAGCAATCCAGGACCATGCCACCGACGAAGAAGAAGGCGTCGCCTTGATCCAGCTCCAATGTCCTTCTTGGACTGATATTTCTGAGCCCTCCAGAAAAAGACGAGGTCCCCAGGCTGAGGCACATTCTCTGCGGTGGTGGCCCGCGAACGGGCGAGCTCAGCTTGGCGCAGTCCACGACTATAATGAAGACGAATCATCGAGAGCCTCGAAGTCTCCCTTATCGCAAGCAACTTTGCCATCGTGGGTTTTGCCTCAATCAGTGAGTGTTCTGCAAGTCGAGATGCGAAGCCATTGAGAACATCGCCGCCTGGCGTGGGCATTCTCCCTGTCACCAACTGAATTGGAGCAACACCAGCCTCGTTCACATCAGCATTGTAGGCGGACACCGCCTCACTTAGGGCAATCTCCATCTCTTCAAAGTTGCTAATGGCATGAGACTGAACAGTAGCACCAACCAGCGCTTTCAGCGTCGCTCCCGATCTCTCACAGATACCATTCTGCCAAGGGGCGCCAACCCCAATGTGGTAGAGGTAAATCGACTGGGCATCGCACCAATCACCAAATTCAGCACTGACAAATTCTCGACCTTGATCAGCGACGATGGTGCTGGGGCGACCAAGCAGTGGGAGCCAATGCACCGTCAGGAACCTGATGACTGAATTGGTGCTTTTGTCTCCCAAGACTTGCGCAGCCTGAAACCTCGACACATTGTCTGTGGCGTGGGCCACCACATAAGGGTTGCGAAGTGAGTCTTCCAACATGACCAAGTCTATATGAACTTGTTGTCCAACATCTCGAGGGGGAGGAAGTGAGGCAGGAGGTCGTGCTCGAGGAAGTTTGCGCTCAGCGCACACCGCACATTTCAGCCGCTTGGCTGCCAGCACTGCCTCTCTTGGAGCGCCTGCTATCAAAAGAGCTCTGGCTAGGCGATGGTTGCTGCGATGGCTTGTATTCACGTGCAGTCTGTAGACCGCATTCTTGACTGCCGTCGGGATCACGAGAGCATCGTCCTCCTTGGAGAACTCAAAAGAAGCATCAGAGACTTCATCGTCCTCTCGACCTGGTTCACCAGTGACAAGCACTTCATGTTCCACCTCCAGGACATCAAAGGAACTGAGATCCGCACGGACCAACATCGAAGTCTCAAAATCATGCTGTTTCAAAGCCGCTTGAACGACAGACTCCGCAAACTCAGGCGTGTAGTGCCCGGCAGCTGAACTCACTTTGCTTTCACCCATCACAGGAGTATGAGGATGGTCTCCAGTGCATCGTTTGTCCAAAAAGGCGGACACAAGCGCTTGCATAGAGGTCACAAGCTGAGTGGCCTTACGATGCAGTTCTCCGTCAAGAGCACGAAGACCAAAGCGACACATATCCACAGTCACGGTCAAGGCATCCGTCTCGAGCATGAAGGTCTGAAGAACTTCCAACTTCCAAGCGAGAGATCCGCGTGGATTCTCCATCAGATAGTGGCGCTTGCCACGCAGCTGAAGTTGGGCCACCTCAATGGCGAACTGCACCAAAATTAATGCCTCTTCTCTCATGCGCTGAAGGTCATGCGCAGGATTCAAGGCTTGGAGTTGAGACCATGGCCCGCAAGGAAAAGCAAGGATAACGAGGTAGGGTTTGGTCTCCTTAACCTTCAAAATGCCCTTCTTCCGGTGGTGTTCAAGACGAAAATCCCAACCACTGCTTAAGGTGAGACTGTCACCTGCCAACAAACCTTGTCGACGAGCCGCTTTGGCGACTGGCTCAGTGTCTGTGTAAATCTCGGTGACGAAAGGAGAAGGAAGCTGCACCTCCAAGGCGAAGGTCTCGTTCATGGCATTCTTCATCTCATAGTCCCATGAAGCCAAGAAGATCTCATTGACCTCAGCGGCTCCCACAGAAATAGCCAACTGATCACGTCGATGCTGATCCCACGCCTGCGAGATCATCTGTCGGATGCCAGGCTTCACTTTTCCGGAGATCTTGAAGTCATCCTTGACCACCTCCTTGGCGTCCATCAATCCTCGCCCGTGAGATCCATGACTTGCTCCCCGAAGCCGCCGGGAGGATGTTCCGACGGCATGGGATAGGCTCCAGCCGCTGCCGAGAGGTGAGGTCCCTCCGCCACTGTCTTCAACACTTGCTTCAGCATGTCTTGGAAGCGGGAGTCCTGAGCCTCCATCATCTGCTGCACTCGAAGTTCCATTTGATGAAGCTCCTGAGGGAAAGGACAGCCGTCTTGTTGACGAAGCTCTGGTGCTCTCGGCGGGCTCATGGAGCTCACAGCTGACCATGAGGACGGAGTGGACAGACGAGGCGGATCCGCCGGTATCTTCTGACCAACATCGGATTGCTTCACAGCCGGTTTGCTCTTCAGGATCTCCACAAGGGGTCGGATTCGAGCTTGAAGTTGAGGCACTGTCTCTTTGGGAGACGGCGTCAGATTGAAAAGCAAGGCCAAACGAACCAAATCGGCCCGCAAGGTAGGCAAGCCACCCCTGGGACCAAGCAACTGGCGAGCCAAAATCTCGCGATCCATCTCTGCCGTCTCCTTTGCGACTTTGGCCTTCGCTTCCTCCAAGGCTGCCGCCTTCAACCGGGCCAACTGACCCTTTTGAGAGCGAGCCGCCAAGAACCCAGCCAACAGAGGATCTTCCACAAACGCCATCTTCCAGCCACAACGATCGCGAAGACGACCGAGTTCGATGAGGTTGGTCGCCGTAAAGCGCCCCATCTCCAAGGCCAGGGCGTGATGCCTTCGACTCATGGCACCCATATTCACCATGGATTGGGCCTGCAAGACCCACTGTTCCACGGAGATCACCGACGGGTAGGGAAAAGGCAAGTACCGCAAGTGTGACCGCGAGTTGAACTGGATGAGCAAGCTTCGAGCGTGCCATTGTCTTCGATCGAGTACGCGCAAGATGAAGCGGTTCCAGCGGTACGGCACGATGGCCTTGGTGTTGACCTCCTGGAATGTCCGAAGCAGCTGAGGAGTGAGAGGGTCCAGAGGTTGTAACTCCTGGTTCTCCATCCGTTGGGCAAAGGTCAACTGGGCCATCCTGAAGTCCTTGATGACTAAGTTCTGCACGAAGTCGATCTGGTAGTTGAAGAAGTCCACGAACCATCAAACGCACAGGGTCGCACGTCATGCTGTGAACCAAGGAAGGCAAAAGACAAACCGTGCAGGATTCATGCCATTTCAAACAACTTTCACCAGCAGCAACGCTTCCTTCTAGCAAAAGATGTTCATGGGTAATCTCTCCAAAACAAATGGAACCCTCAGCAATCTTGCGGTCCAACCAGGAACGAGGAGTCAATTGAAGCTCGACGATACCATCCAGACCGATCCGTCTCCAACGTCCAGGTCCGAGCCTTGGCCAGGAATCCGGCAAAAGCTCCAACATGAAGTGCCCCGCGGCCATCTGACGAAGCTCCAGAGTACGGCCTGAATCAGCAAAAAGGTTGACACACTGGAGGGTCCGCTTGGAGAAATCGAGGATCGCTCCGACAGCATCCAAGAAGTCCCGGCCTAATAAAAGGCCCAAGGAGGCTACCGGCACCTCACTCACCCAAACAAGAAGCACTCGACCCCCGATACACATAGGCAAACGCCAGCGCTTCGAACTAGGCGCTAATCCGCCATTGCCGAACTTGAAGCGCTCTGCTTCTTCAACATGAGAAACAAGTGAATGAATCCAAGTGGGTCCTTCTCGGACTTGCTTCAAATAGCCTTCCAGCCATCTAGGCCCGCTGCATGTGCGATTGCATGCGGAATCCAAGGCTCCCACCAAATGTTTGTCTTCGGCAAGGACCTGGCCGGATGAGGACAACAAAGTCGAATGCGAAGAACCCTGCAATGACTGCTCAAGCGCTTGCTCCAAACTCAAATAACCACTCTCAAGAACATGTACTTCATGAGGGGGCGAAGAAGAAGAAACAGGGTCACCGGATGTCAAAGTCGATGAAGGAGTTTCCCCAAACGTTTCAACGGAACCGACATGGTCTGCTTGAAGAACTTCTGCAATTCGCACTGGTCGCACTTTTCCTCCTCCAGACTTGCCGGCGCCTTTGCGCCCAATGCCGGCCCCAGGTCTAGAGCATTCCTTGTCTCCGGCCCAGTGACCGTGCATCCCACAGTCAAAACATGGGTGCTTGCCGGATGCCTTTCGGGCTGCCGGAACGCCGGTGTTCGACCGGCCGCCACCTTGTGAGCCAGGCTTTCCAAATCCACGATCTTTGCGAAGCTCCTGAAGCTTGGTCTTGGCCTCACGCATAGTGACCAAGGCTTCAGCGGCTTGCTCGAAACTTGATTCTAGCTCTTCGAGCGCTTCAGGGTTCACGCCACTCTCCTCCGCCTCATGAAGTTCCGTGGCCAACACTTCGGCTTCTGACTGAATGAACGCCTCCAAATTCTGCTCTTCTCCGCCGTCCTCCTCCTCCGCAACAGTGGCAAGCACCTCCTCAGGAGGAACTTCCCAGTCATCGGCTTCCTGCGCCGTCTCGGCAACGAAAGCACGACGGGTCGAAGGTGGGGAGGAAGAAGGACCACGGGTAGAAGGATTCGACGAGAACATAGAAGGACTTCGGCTAGTAGTTGAAGACGCCGAAGAAGAAGTGGGGCGAGTAGATTGAAACAACCTGCGAATGGTCAACTTAGGCCGATCACCCTGACGCTCAAAACGACGTTGAAGAGGGTCAGCAAGGTGCAGGTCCTTAAAGAGCCTGAGAACTTCACCCTCGATCACATTGTAGTCTTCACGACCTTGAAGGGCCGTGTCAAGCAGCTGCTTCCGCAGAGGATCGAGACCGAGCTTGTCCTTGAAGAACCAGCCAAGCTCGGCCTCTTGAATCACAACACCTTCAGCTTTCAAATCGGCAGCAAGTGTTCGAAAACGAGTCGCAAATTCAGACAAGCGTTCTCCCGGCGCACGTTTCAAGTCAGTGTAGAACTGTGCTCGAAGTTCCCCACGTTTGTCCAATGCCGATTGTCCATTAATGGACTCTAAGGCAGAAAGAAGTTTGTTGAGTCCAAAGAGGTAGTCAGCTGGTGTCACTTCAATGGTCTCTCCTGAAGTGGGATCTTCATACGATTCAGCTGGCTTGTATGCTAATTCGGAAGGGTCAAATTCTTCACCCCGCTGCCTGACTATTCCTGTTTGCCTGAGCAACCAGCGGGCTGCCAAGTTGTAGCGGGCCGTTCCAGCAAGGTCTAAGGAACTCACCCACCAGCGCATCTCCCTACGGAAGCTCCTCCAAGTCAACGGACTTCCATCCCAGGTCGGGACCTGGTACCACGCTCCCTTCTCTGCCTCGCCTCCACCAGCAGCCATCAGCTCCTCTTCAAGGAGGATGCCAAGGGCAAAGGCAAGGAAGTTGGCACAGTCGTAGGCCAAGGTGCAAGTCAAGTAGTCCGCTTTTCGAACCAAAGTGAAAACACGGTGGAAAAATCCAGACGAGTCACCCCAAAACCGCGTGGCCTAAGGAGAAACTCAAATGAATCCACCAAGGTGCAAGAGAACTGGCAGAGCAGAGCCAAGGCGCAAGCGAAGCGAGAAGAGCCCAGGATCGCAACTAGAGCTCCGCGCACCACTGAGGAAACCAAGTGCTATCGAAGCGAAGTGCAACGCAGCTGCCACAACAAATCGAATCGCGCTCTTTCCGGGTAGCGTAGCACAAACTGGCTGAAGATCTGGGGTTCGGGCCAAAAGGAAATGGCCCATCGGGAATTCACATGTCGACATCCATGCGAGAGTCTGTCATTGACAATAATGGATGGGGTGATGTTGTAGTTGGAGCTCCAGCCTGGTATAGAAAAAAATATGAACCAATTGATTTTTAAAAAAGAATGGGTCTCTTCGAAAGGATCCGAGTTTCGTGAAATCTGTGGCTGCACAGTGGATCTCTTTCGTGCAGCGGCTAAGAGTTCGTTCCACAGCTGCGCCTCCGGTGCGCACCGCTGGAGTGACTTCCAGAGCGAAACACCGACAGCCATTCAATCGAAAGAAAGGGGAACCGGGTCAACACCAATCCCCACAAAAACAGGTGCTTCGGGCAAGTCGGGCAAGTCATCCACAAACCTTCCTGACTGGGTTGGATGCCTGGATCCAATCCGGAATCTCGGGGAGCATCTGACTTGGTCTCCGAGCTTGGGAGGTGACCTGTCGCCCGCGCGCGCCGGCGCGTCAAGTCCAACACGCCGACCGGTCATGGACCGTGGCTCCCGGGCGGTCCAGCGCCCAGGTCCACGAAGAGCAAGGCGCCCTCGCCCGCCGTCTTCAGGTCCGGCGTCGCCTCGTAGAGCAAGGCGCTCGGTTGGCCGATGGGGCGACGTGGGGCGCGCAAGGGCTTCGTCCGTGGGTCGCCCGCGGCCGGTGCTTGGGCCGGGTCAAAGGAGGTCAAGAGAGGAGTCAGAATCGTGTCTATCTAAAATTCCGGTCTCATGCATGGGGTCAAAAAGATCCAACATCTTCAGAGTGCCACAGTTCCAGAATGTTCCAGGTGACCATGTTTCTGAATACTGCTGAAGCATACCAAAGACCAAAGACCAAGGCTTGATCAGTGTTTGCCTCAGGAGGGTTTCTCTGCAGATGAGCAAGCGTTTTATCCGCGATTGGGGCATGAAACTGTTGTCCGAGACACTGACCCCAAGGAGGGTTGCAGTTCGGCGCAGTTGCCCTTGTTACGAATAGTGACTATACTATGTCAAGAGTAGGACGTCTGAAACCTCTGAGAAAATGAACATTTTCCTGGTGCCCTGAGGAAGGGTCCACGGAGTCCACGACGGTCGATATCTGTGGGTGTGAAAACGCACGGACAAGATCTGACAAGTCTCCCGCACAACGAGAACATAGCCCAGATTTGCTGAATTCTGCACAGTCTTCGTCCTGAGTACAGTCATCATTCACTAGCAGGGTCCTGAGATTATATAGTTACAACATGTTGCAACCTCCTGGTTCTTCAGTTCAATCGTGACCTTGATCCTCTAGTTACTCCGTTCAGGTAACAGGCCCAGGACTAGTTTGAGGTCACACACTTGCAGGGACTCGTCCGGTCGGTCGAAGGAAGAAGCGCACCGTTCTTGGGATCTTCCACCTGCAGCGTTCCGTCGCCTCGCCTTGATGCGCACATCAGGCACCGGTGCCTCAACGCACGTGGCACGGCTGAGGTGCTTGGCCAGACGTCTGCGACCCCGAGACGCCGACATCCCGCGACCCGTTGGCGGACTGCGAGTGTGGGCATCGGTGTCTTTTCGGCATCGGTGCCATCAGTGCCGCTGCTGTTACCGCCTGTTGCTGTTGCGCTCAGAACACTGGCGGACTCCGCCCTGAGGTCGGTCGGTCGGTCGACCCTCGCTGCCCAAGGCGCATAGACCGTGAGGACGAACTGCCCGGGGCTCTTGGCGGTCTCCACCTGTGCGATGTCCGATCCGGCCGAAGGATCGGAGAACACGTCCCGGAGCGCGCGTAGGGTACACCCCGGCACGCCACAGCTGTCCCGAAGGACATCCACGGGCTGTTCTTGGAAAAGAACAGGATTGACATCGACCTGTTTCGTTTTGAAGTGCTTGACCTGGTCTCACAGCAGGTGACCTGCAGGTGATCCGCTACGGAGGGTGATCCGCCCAGTAGCCGTGCCCCACCGAGCGAAGCAAGCGGCGCCGCACCTGGCCATTGCCCAGTGGCACGCGCGCGGCCATAGAGAGGGAATCCTGGAGGGCAAGGAGGGTGAAATGGTAACTGGCGAAGCCACCTGGAACTTTTCAGGTGTCCTCGGGAAACCAAAAGGGGGGGAGAAACGAGGGGAGGAGGAACATGGGATGTTCGTGACCTTCTTCCGTTCGTGGCCAAGCGACCTGGACTCCCTGTTGAAACAGGCCTCCTCAGTAACCAGGGGATCACGTTTGGCCACGAACGGAAGAACCAGGCCGGCTCTGGTCGCCCAGGTCGGTGGTGCTGTCTGAAGGTGAATTGGCACACCATCCCCAATGAGGCAAACCCAAACCATCCATGGGACTGGAATAGTTTCCTACATTGGTCATTTTCATGGGGTGAATGGAACTACACATGGAACTACCCTGGGAAAGGAGATGGGTGAAGATGGTGCAAGGAGATGGCCTCCTTGCCAGCACCTTCCAACAGAACCAGGTCTCCAAGATTTGAAAGCTTTTGGATTCGCAGGTGGTCCATTTTTCAGTCGCAGGTGGTGACCGAAAGCAGATTTCGGGTCCACCTCTGCCACCTCAAAGTAGTTGGAGAAATCGCCGGTCCACTTGAGCCGACCCGTCCCTACACATCGCTGTATTCCAAGTCCAAGTCCGCAGAGCTTCCGGTTGGGATAGGTAGAGGGTGCTGGCGCCTACCGGGCCAGGTCCCGTCCTTTAAAGCAGCTAGCAATCGACTGTGGGAGACCGTTGTCTGCCGGTCGCCGGTCGGAGCTACTTGGCATTTGCAGCCGAACGAAGCTCATGAACGAATCATTTGAGTAATGCCCTTTTGTTGCAAGCCTGAACTCCATGAACCTTCTGAAGGAAAAAGAACGATAAGAGTTTCACCAGACTGATCCCTGCCAAAGAGCTCCATTTAGAGAGTCTCCATGAGTCTCCCCAAAAGGCTTGGTGATTCCCTGAAATCAATCATGAATCAACCATCTTGACAATCACTGCCCCACACGGGCACACACGCCGATCTGGGTCAATGACGAAAAATTCGGGAGATTGCAGCTTTGGTGGGGGCTGAGTTTGACAGAATTCCGGCTGAACTCCTAGACTTCCAAGACCATTTTTGGAATTGTTGACCATGGTTTGGTAGTGCAAAACCCTTAGAAAACCTCATGGCGCGGTTTCGTTACAAGGCAATGAACTCAATGGTCCTTCGTTACAAGGCGTGATGAAACCAATCGAACCAATCGAATCCTTCCCGCGCGACCCGATCGGCCTTGCCACCGTCGATGGCAATGCCCAAGTCCACCATGATGTGGCTCAACGCCTCCCACGGCCACAGGGGTCTGGGTGAGTAGGTCGCCCGTCCAATGGGGTGAAGGGGCCCGGAGTTCTTAGGGTGAACTCCAAGTCGCTGAGAAATCCATGGAAAAAAACCTGTGTCACACAGGGGATGGCTTCGTGAACATTTCAAACCGTCAGATATTAGACATGTCTTCATTCAGAAAAAATCCAAGCTCCGGCTCTGGTCATGGAGTCCAACTCATCCTTTTCCACCGAAACCTCCCACAAAACCATCCCCGTGAAGCCTTCAGATCGGCCATTAAACGAATGGATGACCCAGTGGTGGCCTGTCGCGTATACAGACCCCTCGTAAATCCATGCTTCGCCATGGCATTCAGACCATTAAAACAATCATTCTTCCAATCATATCTAAACGGGCATCCACCTGGCGGCGCCAGGCGCCACCTCACGGGCGCCACCTCACCCGATGAGGGCGCCACCTGCCTCGGCAATGTCGTACATCTTAGGCCCCTCGCCCGGCAGCTTCGCGGCCCACATCCAGTTCCCTGAAGCCTCGCTGTCGGCATCGGCATCGGTCCGTGAGGCATCGATGTTCAAGAGACTCGCTGTACTTGGGGTCAAAACCCCCTATCTCTAGTTCATCCTTCTTATCGGGATACATCAACCGCAAAGAACTGTTGGTCAAGGGAAACTCACCTCCGTGAACATCAAGAGTCTCCTAGCACCCGATGAGGGTCCAGGTCTCATCTGGAGGTGTTCGCAGACTTACAAGTGACAGGTGGTGACCTGTCCAGGTGGAACCTGTTCATCTATACCGAGCTCTTTTTTTGACGCGTGGCCTTATGGTGCTTGCTGGGATAGGAATGGCTTTGGGATCTTTGGAAATGACCCACATCTATGTTATGCCAAAGGGAGGTGCACCTGTAGACTGGACATTCGTTCTGGCAAGGCAGCGAAGCGGGTGGGAGTTTGCACTGAAACACCGATGACAGCGGTTGGCTGTGACCAACCACGCATAGGCTGTGACCTGGAGTCGAAGAAAGACGGAATGCTTCAACACAGACCCACTCCGACAAGAAGGGGGTATCTATCAATAGCTCCGTAGAGGTTAAGGGGTGTCCATCAATATACCGGTCCGCATGGGGGTAGACCCTCACATTCCACCCCAAACAACTTGTTCGAACCAGTTGCAAAAGTGCGGCACGAACGGAGGAAGTCGGGGGTGCCCCTGTCACATCCACGGCCCCTGGAGGGGACGAACCAAACCACCCCCAACATGGACCCCCTGCAGTCAATGTTCATCCCCCAACACTTGAGTTGGACAAAAACTGGTCTCTGCCTGTTGGGAGGTCTTCCAACACAAAAAGAAACACGAGTCATCGCCAACCCAAGCGCCTTGATCGAATCCAACGTGGGAATGCGGATCCACGCGAGGTTGGTGAGTGCCTCGTCCCGGGACCCCCGAAACGGACACCGTCGTCGGGCACCGAAGTCGGGCACCGAAAGGCTGCTGTGGGCGCCGAGACCAGGAGACAATGAGAGAGCAAAGAGCCTCCACCAGCACCGAGGCACTACAGGTCTCCGAGTTTTGGAGGCGCATACTGCATACTGCAGACTGCACTGTCGCTGTCGGTGGGGACGGACTGGTCGGGTTTGAGCCAGTCCTACACGAGCTGTATTCCAAGTCCAAGACCCCTTCGTATAGTGAAAGGGATAAATGTATAGTTCTATCTGATGTGGCGGTCTAAACCCGGAGCCTAAACCCTGGGAGGTCTAATCTCCTGACCCTGCCCGGGTTTTGACCCACAGCCATGTGCGTTTCCTGGTCTGAAGTCCTGTTGGTGGTCTTGGAAGCCGTGAATCAGCCTTCAAAGTGACTCCCAAAACATAGCATTCAACACAACTGGCAACCGGCAACCACCAGGACCTTCAAACTCCAGCTCTTTTTGGCCGCCAGCAAGTTCGTCTTCCTTTTTTCAGGAGATGCCCAAGCCTTGGAACCACGAAATACACCGAAACCCCACGGGCCAAGCAGAACAGTACCACCATGAAGAACGACCTTCCCAGTGACCGAACCACCTGGAGTCCCCAGTCGTGACCGAACCAACCATGGTTGCTTTGGGTCCTTGAAGATCCGTGAACCGCAGGTTATCGCAGCTTGCGCCGTCTTCGGACGTCCCCGCCTCGGCCACAGCCAAACGCGCCATGGAGACGCAGCTCTCGGGATCTCCTGAACATACGTCCGTCATCGCGCGCGGAGAGGTCGGCCAACTGGTCGTGTGGACGGAACTGGATCCGCATTCCGGACTCAGACTTGGCCGTTAGGTGGCCAACTGCAGCTGAACAGTGGAACAGAGTGGAATTTTCACGTCTTTTCGTGGATTTCCTTGGACCATTGGCAGCTCAATCTAAATTGACAGCGGACCGTTGCCACGAAATGGACGTTGACCGACCTCACGGTGCCGATGCGAGACTTGGATCGGATGGATGTGGACGGAGCTCGAAGGAGTGAGAACTGCACGGAGAACTTGGTGTGTTGCAGAAGGATCCAGACTGCCTGTGGACATGGACCAGTTCGCATGACTGCGTCGCTACTTTGAGTGAAATCCTAGTGAAATTCCGAGGGTCATGACTTTAGTACAGGAGTACTCCTGGTCTATTTGAGTTCGGGGTGTCCAGTGGAGACCTACCTATATTATATAAGCAGTGTTGGGTTGTGTAGGGTGGTGACCCCGTCCAAGCAGCTAGAGTGTATGTATAGTTACCCTAAGCTTCCAACCACCATCGATGGAAGTGGGTCTTGTCCGTACAACCATATAGTTTTACGAAGGACTTCACACAAGAAAACATCTAAGCCAACCCCGGGCTTCACGGTTCCTGCAAGCCGGAATGGGGGGCCTCTGGGGTTATATAAATATAGATATTGTTTTTAGTCAGCACCAGGTTCGGAGCTCGTAGCGGTTTTCTCGCGATGTGTTTCTCCTGCCTTTGACAGGTTCCTCTTCAAGCCTTTTCAGTCAAAGGTAAGCAGAAAAAGCATCCAAAACTACCTGGACCATCCTGTCTTGTCTTGATATCCCTCAGTAGTGGTAGGGTGGTCCAGCCAGGACACCCATGTGCAGGATGGTCTTGGTACTCTTCTTCATCTTTTGGATTCTTGCTTCGAAAGGGTCCTGGAAAAAGGGACCCCAAAAAAAAACAGGGTCATCACAGTCACCGCTCCAAAAAGAGACAGAGTTACTTTGGCCAGGTGGATGAATGACTGGCGAGTAGACTTGTTGATTCAGAGATGCGTCGGTGGAGGCTGTTTCTGCGCAAAGTGGGCACTATAAAACTATGCATCGACAACATCAGTTCTTTCGTGGACAGAATGCAGCACCATCCCCCGCACTCCTTAAGATATGAGAGCCTTCAGATTCAGGACTGAGTTTCTTGCAGTGATGCCTGTACCCCAGCCCCAGCTGGGCTTTTGCACGGGCCAGCCGGGCGAGTACGTGGCATGACCCCCAAAGCCTGTCATCAGTCTTGAGTCTGGGTACACCGACGGTCTGCCGTCACTGCGTTCCTCGTAGGCCATCCACAGGAAGACGGAAGACTCGAGACGTGCTTCTCTGCGGTCGATGGGGCGGTCGATGGTGAAGTCGTCGCCAGGACTGGTCGACCGAAGTGAATCCCATGTGGTTTCCATCTACTTCGAGATCGCCTGGACCTGACTCCATCACTGAACTGGCAAAATGTCTCTGTGCGACATGGTCACACATGGCCTTCAGAGAAAAGGAGACCTACATCCGCTGGTACACCATGCCTACATCCGCTGGTACATCCATGGTCACACGACGTGGATTCCAGTGGATTCCGCTCTCGCAGCCTCGGATGTACCGTCGCAGCCCAGGCCGGGAGTCGTCGCATCTCAATGGCGTCGATCGGACCGCGCTTGCAGCGTTTCTGCGTCACTGATCATAGCTACCATATACGAGCGTGTCCTTCCATATGAGCAACGAACTACTACTAGTTGGAATCCAAGGGGATCTCGTTGTTCGCCTAAAAACCACCAATTCCCATCACCAAACCCGTCGCGCTTCTCCTGCCAGGCCCTTGAGAGGCTGCTCACCAATCGCCGTAGCGCCTGACGCCGCCCGTTCGCCCGTTCGCGCAGGTCAGGTCGTCACCAACTGGAACCCCAAAGGAAAGGGGGGAATCATGTGACCGGGAGCCGAAAGGAAGAACCAGGTGGGGTAAGCTCCGCTCAGAAGGTACCACATCAGGAGAAAGGTCATCCTGGCAACGGAGTGTTTCTAGACAGTTCTGTTGATCTCCTGTGGCCGTGAAGGTCAAGAAGGGACGATCTAAATGGGTTTCTTGGGAGGTGGTTGGCCGTTCTGCCGGAACGTGGCCCAAAAAAACGGGTTGAACATGGTTGAACACATGTTACAAGTTACATGTTAAAAAACGGGTGTTTAAAAACTACTTGGAACCATTTTCCAAGTTCCAACCGTCTTCAAGGCCCATTTTAAAGGCAAAACAATAACAAGTTCATCCTGTCTGAGTGGCTGGACTGCACCATCTTACTTACTACTTTTCGTGTTTTTTCCAGACAGGATGGTCCAGGTCCAGGATGTTCCAGCGTCGATTTGCCCCCGCTTTTCATATGGGGATGACTTCTTGAATAGATGCATGCCTTTGATGAGGCTTCAACAACAAGTGCGTTAAAGCAAACCTGGACAAAATCATATGCCTCGCGTAGAGGGGATTAATCAAGTCGCCCATTTGTGAAGACCATATCCAGTCTTCCAGTCTTCCATGCAGAATTCGCGTCGGGACAAAAAGGAGAAACAAGAACTACTTGTGTTGCCGGACTGCTAGATACTGGCTACAGCCCCCAAAAAACACAGAAACATGGTTCTATTGATGACGTTTCGTATGGTTCCAACTCCTGTTCGATGCGCTTGAACCCCTTCACCGGGCGATCACAGTTGGTCATCCTGTTGAGTTGGCAGTTGGCGATGACCGTTTCGGCTCGGCTCTTGCTGTTGTTTATTGCGTTGCAAAGATGTGCTTGTAGAAATTGGCAAGTTGAGATACAAAGAGCAAGGTCCATTTATAGTTGAATGTACTCGAGTGCATGGTGATCATCTTCGAATCCCAACTTGCAGATCAGTGTTCAATAACAAACACAAAGCCACAAAGCTGATAATGGGTGGGTCATGGTGGGTCATAGGATTGGTTAACACAAACATCTACCAAAAAAAAGAACACTCGCGTGGCTAGAGAAACGGAGTTGTCTGTTCCCTGCAGATTGTCCTGTAGAACCACTGAGGACTTCCTGAGCCAATGGACATCTGACCATCCCTGTCAGACATAACCCAGGCAGCAGCAATGCAGACCAAACAAGTGATCCATACCGACCACCTCGCAGCAGCGTCCAGTCCAGATCATCTGGGGTTTCTAAGGACAACTCATTGGCCTCTAAACCTCAAGCACTCCGCAATTGAACACAAAGCAAAAAAACGAAAAATGGAGCCGCCCCCAAAAAAGAGGAGACCCCCCCTATAGTAACAGCCGGAATCCTTCCGAATTCCGAAAAACCCGCCTCTGCCACTACTCTTCACCACTCTCTCTCCTCCGCGTCTCGCCTCCGGAGGTGCTCAGCGGGCTCTGCGCAATGCAGGCGAAGTCCGCCAGGGGCGTCTGCAGGGGCCCGACGCCTCGGTGGAAGCTCTGCAGGGGTCCGGAGTCGCGGGCGCCAAGGCGCCGGTTTCGACCCTTTCAAAGAAGTGAGATTGACCTGGTGTTATAGTGCCATGTTTCTTATTTAAATCCAATGGTTGTTGGAAGGTTAAACGTCTGATTTTCAGAGTCTCCCAAACAGCTCCTGTTCACGTGTCGACTCGGGGGCTAGTTTTCGGGAGTCACCCCACCGCCGGCCTCGCCAGCCCAGCACATTCTGTTCTGGTGCACACCCCAAAGCCTCTAGAGGCCTCGTCTTGAAATTGCTGCTCGGCAAACAGGGAGAAAAAAAGATAAGACATCTTCCCCATGCCAGGAGATTCACCCAGTGAGAAGAACATCAACATCACCGCCACAAAACAAGCTTTTGTCGCCCAATCAAATCAGATGAAGCCACCTATCTGCGTGAAGAGAAACCATCTATCTGCGTGTGGTGAAACGGTTGGAGACCTCACCCGCGTTCGTTCCGAGCGCCCTGGAAGGTTCGGAAAGATCGAGTCTACTTCGGTGACCGGTGCCCTTTTTTACACACTCATGTGGGACACAGGCACACCATCTAAAACAGAGGCCAGATCGGTTCTGGGAGACTGTCTCCCTTTGATTGAGAGACACGGCCTCTTCCTCTCCGAGCTGCACCGTGCACCGAGCTGCCGGCAACAGCCCGTCCGCGGACGGGTTTTCGACACGGCCAGATGATGTCCATCTCTTGGAATCGAGCTCTGTCCGATCGGAGGACGACTCTGGCCGATCGCCCAGCCAACCCACGTTGGGCTCCATGAAAGACTGCCCCGCCCCATGCAGAGGATCTGCGGATCCAGGCACCATCTGGACCATCCGACTATCTGGGTGTCCTGTCTGAAGATCCCTAACTATAACTAATCCAGCTACTAGGACACCTGGAGGGTCTAGGTGACTAGTGGAACCAAACACTGGTTCCATTGACGTGACCTGGGGCATCTCTTTCAGCCTCTTCCACAGGTTCCTCCTCGCTCGGCCGTCCATCCACACCATCTCCGGCGCGGACCTCCTCCCGTGGCCGAGCGGCATTGCTGCTGTGCAATCTGCCCCGTCACAGATCGGTCCACCTGGTGGAAGCAACGGCTCCAGCGAGACAGGTGAGGTTCTTTCGTGGATGGCAAGGAGGTTGAGAGCGGTCTGTGCATCAAACATGTTTGGAATGATGTTATAGTGTAGAGGTTGATATGGAAGCAAATTGGACTTCAGTATGATGTCATGTCATGTATGTTTGTCAGACCTCCTGTCCTACCCACTACCCACTCGAGATTTGAGGAGCTAGGCCAGAACATGTCAGACAGACGTGTATGCCCTGCGAAGCTACCCACTCGAGACTCCGGTCTGGTCGTGGTGTGGCCCGGTCTGGAGGCACGACATGTCCAGGACTTCCCCCTTTCAATTCAGATGATTCAGATGAGAAATCATGCTCTTGATAGGGTCAGTTTAATGATGTTTCATGTAGATGCCTTCCTATGAGCCTCCGAGCGTTGCCCTAGATTGAACCCGCGACTGAATCCAAGCGCCGCGAACGCTCGGAAGATTGGAATCTCCCCCAGCCCCGAACGACTACACCGGTCACTTGTCCTGCAAAGGGAACCTCTCGTCTATCATCGTCGATCAACCAAGTTCAGCCAGTCGCGCGCCTTGTTCGTCAGGAAGCGTTTGGAGCACACCGAAAGCAATCTCAGGACGCCTGGGGAGCCGCAGTCCAGGTGCGGCTGCTGGGTTTCTCCAGGTCTTCAAGTTCAAGCAAGTTTGGAATTCGACAAACTCCAAGGGTCGGAAGGTCGGATGGAAGGTCGGCGGTCGGTGAGGGGATCCTCCACCGACCCAAAAAACGCCTCCATCCACCACTGAGAGGGCCGCAAAAAGTGCTTTTCTCAGCTTCTCGGAGGATGAAAAAGGTGTAGCTCGCAGCTACCTAAGAAGGCCCTATCTGAGCTTCTTCAGTGCGTGCCCGAACGACCTGGATGTCCCTGGGAATGGGACCTTCCTTCAGCTCCTAAGTTACCACGTTTTTTTGAAGATCACAAACCACCGGTCACGAGTTCACGAAGAACCAGAGGTCTCGCACCTTCGTGGGTTTCATCACCTACTCTAAGAATCCAGACCCTTCGAGAAACCCCAAATGTTCCAGCACCTTCTGGTTCTTCCCTCGCGGGTCACAGAAGCGAACACACATGGCCTTCTTCAAAAAAGAGATGTAGAAGACTTGTGGCTATCTGTAGCTATCTACTTGGTGGGGCAGCTCAACACCATGTTTCTTCGTTCCAGGTCGGGTACGAAACCAAATCCAACGTCATCCAACACATTAGAAAGCCACGGATTTCACATTTGCTACAAAGGTGCATGGGCTGCATGGGTGCTTATTGGTCCTTCTTAAGTCTTACACTCATGGTGAGCTGAAGTCCTCAGGTGGCCTGATGTCCCTCAGTTTCGAAAATGGAAAATAGAGACTATAAGCAAGCTGTCCACACCGTGAATGTTCTTCGTGGGGTGTCCCCCCAATCCCGCAAAAAGGTCTTATAGGTGATGACTTCCTGGGTTGGACTGGCGCACCCGCCTGTTTCCAGTGCCACCTGCACCGTCAACGAAGCTGGAAGATCCTGCGCGAAAAGCACTCGCTCAGCTCGAGCTCGGAAAGGCTTTCTTGGGTGGAAAAGAGCGAACGGAACGTTTTGATTGAAGTCGAGATGTCCATCTGCTACGGTTGGAATGAAATCCAAAAAGTAACACCTCGCTGGCCTGGTCCAATCAAAACAGGCTGCTCGTCAGATCCCACCAACGCAGCCAATGCAGGACATGTGCGCGACGATTCTGAGAGCAAAACAGAGCAAAACATGTCCAAACCCTATGCTTTGCCCAGGTTCATTGAAATTGTCTCCACTGGTCTTTGCGATATCAGGACGGCCAAAACAATCAAGGCTCGGCACCCAAGATCCGCCAAATCATGCTAAATCCCCTCCGGGAAAAAACAACAGGAGAAGAAAGAACACACCCCGGCCCGGGTCCAGTGCTTTGGGCAGCTGTTTGTAGATGCGCTGCATCTTGAAGACCTTCTGCGGCATCTTCCCCAAGACCTAACAGACCAAACTGAACCACGCCGCTGAAGCGGAAAGTGATGCCCACCATGAATTTAAGAGGCTGAATCCCGAACCAATTTACTAAGGATTTCACACTACAAAACCAGGTCACTTACCTTTTTTGTGGTCTAATCAACCATAGTGGGACGGTGGTCCACTGCATCCCACCAACCATGAAGGTTCTCTTCCCTTGGAGCATTGTCTTCTTCCATGTCTCCGGGTAGCATGGTAGAGGGAAGAGAACACCTCATGCGGCAGAAGGGTCTCCTGCGTCTGCTTTCCCAAAAGGGGGGTGCAAAGTTCATCTCAGCCAGAAGTGATTCGTGAAGTTTTGGCAAATTCTGACATGTATCATGAGCTCTTGGCTCATATTGTTCTGGCTCAGGCCATTGCAACCCAGCGTTGAAAGGACTTGCAAGTCTTCCAGTAGTGATGGGTTGGAGTCAAAAGGTTCACGATCTCGACAAGCCAAACTTGCTATCTGTTTGACATGTTTGGACTGAGAGTGAGCCCCAAGCCCACTGAGACAGAAGCCACTCGGCAAGTTGGCTCTGAACCACAAACGCAGAAGCCCCAAACACACAATGACAAACACACAACCACAAACACAAAACCACAACACACAACCACAACACACAACCACAACACACAGGCACAAACACACAACCACAAGCACACAACCACAAACACAGCCCACAAACACAACACTCAAACACAACCACAAACACACATCTATATACAACAATATAATTACCTGTGTGTGTGTGTTTTGCATTTTGCCTGGCATGTGGTCACAGGGTAGCACTTTTGGATGCCAACTAGAGACCCTGGCGACACCCCGACGCGAACTCCCTAACACTAAAATAACAATCCCAAATCCGAGGACCCACAAGCAAAGTCAAAAACCACAAAACTCACAACCATGGCAACATGTTCATCACCGTGGCATGAGAACAAATGATTGAAATGTCTTGGTGGGGGTCGCTCGAAGTAAAGTATACAATTGCATGTTTTACCAATCAACCCTTGTTGTTAATGTTGTTGTTGTTGTTGTTGTTGTCGTTGTTCGTTGTCGCTGTTGTCAATGTGATTGTTGCTGCTGTTGCTGTTGTTGTCGTTGTCGTTGTCGTTGTCGTTGTCGTTGTCGGTGTGGTTGTTGCTGTTGTTGTTGTTGCTGCTGCTGCTGTTGTCGGTGTCGGTGTCGGTGTCGGTGTAGTTCTTGCTTTTGTTGCTGTTGCTGTTGCTGTTGTGGTTGTGGTTGTGGTGGTTGTTGTTGTTGTTGTTGCTGGTGTTGTTGTTGTTGTTACAAAACCAGGTCAACCGAAGCCATGAATCATGGTCAACGGAAGACGATGGGTTTCACGGTCAACGCTGCGACCGATGCGTCCGGGGAGGATCTGAATTGGACTCTTTCTGCCCGACTAACCCCCGAGCAACAGAACCGTCACCAGTGAACCTTGGGTAGATAGATGATCCTTACATGTCCCAAGCATCAGGATCACCATCCTTTTGGCGCTTGAGAATCTGGGATTGGTCCCAGATTCTCTCTATCTCCTCCAGATTCCGTGCTACAAAGCCTAATTGCCTAATTTCCCTGGCTCGCGGGTCAAGGGAAAACCTATCAACCTGTAGCTTCCTGGCTGGAACATAGCCATAGCCATGGCCTGACTGACTCCCTCAGTCACCCTGGAGAATAAAGGTGAAGCGAACTTTTGAAGTGGGGTGTCTACAGTCTCACACCAAGGTGACCTGCAGGTGATCCGCTGGACTTCCTGAAAAAGGGCAAAGTTGGGACCTCTGTGTCTTGGTTTCGCTGTGTCTTGCTTCGCCTGCATTCTTCATGCTTCTGGCAGATCGACGGTCGACTTTCAGAGGTCTGACGGTCGAACAGACCAGGCCCAGAAAGCAACCCTCCATTCCCTCCCCAGTCCGGTGGTCCCTTTTCTGTCGCGGACGCCGCCCGAACGACGACGCCCCAAACGACCTAACGAACCGATAGATCTGTGCCTTGTCCAGGGGCAGATCCACCGGACAGCTGTTGTCGCGGGAGTCTTTCACCACCACCTTGCCATCACCAGTGATGGTGCCTGAGGCCGTCGGCTGTGGTCGAAAGGCACGAAGTTGGGGTCGCTGCAACGAGGCGGGGCGGGGCAATCTGTCTGCACCTTTTTTGAGGCCCCGGTGTGTGAGGTTCTTCTCTCCGGTCCAAGAAAGACATGTATAGGATAGACCTAAAGAGAAACATACCGCCCCTCGACCGTGAAGGTTCCTCCGAGCTTTCTGAGATATCCAGAGTTCCGACAAAAACTTGTCACCTTGTCCAGCCGAAATAAGATCTTCATGGGCAATCATAAATCGGTGAATGCAACAATTGTACAATACGTGCAGAACCTTCAGCAAAGCTAGGTTCAAAGATGGTCTCTTCTCCAAGCGAGATAGACGCGTCGAACCTGGAACAAATGCCAGGGAACCATCGCAAAGAACAAATGCCTAGAATCTGACATCTGATCCCAGACTTACTAGAGCTGGGATCCTCATGCGCGTCGCTTTCAAAGGTTTCCATCTCTGCTTGCTCAAGGTCCTTGAACGAGACTGTTTCAGCTGGGCAGGGTTTTAGACGGCCGAGACGTGCCACGCGGCCCATGCCGGAGAGGTGCCCACCACGGCATAGGGGACCTTCTCGCGCTTGCAGATTTGATCGAAGAGGGCCTGGTGTGGCGTCGTGGCGTCGTTCTTTGGGCCGGAAGCATCGAGGCACGCGTCACGGGTCGTTGCGGGCGTTCTATGCCGTGCACCACTGGAAGAACGTTCAACAAAGTTTTCCCCCGCACAAGCCCCCCCAAACCCGGAAAAAGCCGCTGGCGAACCCCAACGAGGACCCCTTTGCCTCGCTGGACTGTCCCAGTCAAGGAATCATCCTTTGAACCGACTAGGACCGGGGCCCCGGAGCCTGGAGAGCGTGGCGGCGCGCAGGGCCCGTGGTGGTTGGGGTGGTGTTCCGTGGAACGAGCCACCAACGGGCATCATTGGAGGGTGACCCAAACACGCCAAATGGGACCGGTTTGTATGTAGGGGGGAGCTTGCTTGAAGATGCGTGATCAGTATCCTGCGTGACCTCGCCCGACCGCGTCGGGCACGATACATAAACCAAAAGCGCTGCGCAGGGAGAGCCTGTTCGTCCATGTTCTGCCAGCCACTACCCCAACCCAGCCGCCTCGCTCTCCTTGCCCAGGAGAAGGGCATTGTTCTCCTGAAACTCCGCAGTCCAAAGCTCCTGGAGCGAACACGGCAGATGGCGAGGAGCGTTTCGTTCGACTCGGACGTATTCGCTCACCGGACCGTCACCCCGTGTCAGTCGGGGGGGTGTCTACGGACCACCCGAAGCACCCCCGAGTGAGTCTTGGTGGTGATGGCTTGGATCTTCCAAGTCCAAAGACCCAGTCAAACCTGGTCCTTTTACCTCCTTGAGTGGTGAGCAACGTCTTTGACCTGTACGGCAAAGAATCAGCCCAAAAGCCCCAAAAAGACTTGGAAGATCCAGGTATCACCACAACAGCCATGGATCCTCTTGAACCTGTTCGACTGCGCTTCAGCATTCGCCCCACGCTCTTCCGCGCACATTCCCCGCATTCGCGCAATCTCCAGGAAGGACATGGAGGGGTCGCCCACGTGCATCTTTCGCAGGTCAATCACGGCACCTGCGGCTGAACTCAGCCGCGCACGTTCCCGAAGCAACTGCCACCTATAGATAGATCCAACGGCTGCCCAGTTTTCTACCGAACTTGGGCTGGTTCTTACAGATGAAAAGGCATCAAACACCGGCACCTTGTCTGGAAGATCTGGGTACATGTTGGTGAAGGTTCCAAAAACCAAACAAATACCAGGACCTTCCAAGATCGCCCGGGTGGATTTTTAAGACACCCCTTCGGGCCCATACTCACCTCACCTCTGAAGCAACGATCTTTAAAAAAATAGACATGTGAGCCGGGGATACTCCCCCCAATTGGGTAGACGGTGTACGTTCGGGGGTCACCGAAGGAACTCAGGTTGTCTGGGAAAGAAAACACCTTGAAACTGCCAGCACTCCCATAGAGTTGGGTGCATGGAGGTTTCCAGGGGGTGCCCCCAGAACACATCCACGAGCCCTGGGGATGAGCCAAGGTGGGATCAGATTCGGGTCACACGTGTCCCCAAACCAACCCAGAGGGTTCTTCAGAACCCTATAGTTCCACTCTCCCACTTCGGGTGCCGTAACCCAGGTGTTCCGGGTCCCGAAACTTCAGGTCACTGAAGAGTTCTGGACTATGCGAGCGGTCTCGAAACTCTTCCACCACAGGCCGTTCCGTAGCCACCCGACTCATCAGAGGGCCCCAAGAGGCGCGCCCCTGCTGCAACTGCATGGATAACTGCTACGTCCAGTTGATGAAGGTCCAAAACCACCCGGGGCGAAGGCCCCGGGTCCAAACCGCCGGAACTGGTTGGGCCCAACCCACCCGGAGGTCACGGCACCTGCCGGCTCCGAGATCTCCTTCAGCACGTTCCCAGAGCCTCTGAAGGGCGGGACTGGGCGAGGTGGAACGAACACGCATGGAGCAGCCGAGACCAAGGTGGATGGAGGAAAAGTCGGGAAGTAAGCCGAGAGCCGATGGACCAACGCATCAATTTTTTCGCGGCAACAGAGTTCTGTGCCAGGAGTCCCACAAAGGTGATGGTTTTGAGTCACCAGTGAGTGGATGTCCTGGGACCTAACCTCCATAGATAGCACCCCATGGGACTGCTGGTGTTTTCATCTTCAAACAGCTCCACGGCAGCTTGGCATTTCATCCGCTCCCAAGCTCAAGCGAGGATCCGGAGTGGAAGGTGAAGGGAGGTTGAGCACGAACATGGAGGCTCCATGTACAGTTTCAGAGGTTCGATGGCACAACGGCAGCACCAAGTTTGGTGGTTTATATGGACCCCCCCATCAAGACTCAAGACATCTTGGGGTGCCACATGGTGCCAGTGCCATCGGCTCGAACCTCTGCAACCACCGTAATATAGACAGGTCGTGTCTTGGTGGTTTTCATCTGTCCGACAACGGTACCCGTGTGTGCATGTCATAAACTACCTTACAGCGCATCGGATGGGAAGCATCCAGAGCACGTGCCCCAAAGGTTTGATACTTCTGCCAATCTGTCTGTAGGTTGGCGGCTTAGTTTGGTGGAAGGTGTTTTTTTTCTCTTGGCAAGAGTATGTCCGGAAATGTTGGTCAATTTCAAAACATCCCACCTCTTCCTTTCAGTTTTGATGTTTTTATGGTCACACAGGGGCACTTCATGGTCACCGATCGTCTCGCCAGCTGTTTGACCCTTGATCCACCTCCCTCGGGCTGTTGGGCGATCTGAGATGAACCAGTTCCCGTGCGGAAAGACCCATGTGTTCACGACGAAGGGGTCCAAGGGGAGCGGCTCCAGTCCTAAACAACCACGGCACCGACCAATGAAAAAAATTGCGAAGCAGTCGGGTAGTCACTTCGTTTTGAAGATCGTCCCCGAAGCCCTGCGTCACCCAACACGGAATTTCATCACGGATTGAAATGCAGGAGTCATTGGTCAACATCATCGGGAGGTCGGTTTGACTTATCAAAGTTAACATGGTCTTCCAAGACTGACGCCAAGATGTTGCTGGCACGATTGAGTTTGAGGATTTCCCGCGTCTCGCATCAAACAGGAAAGTACAACAGTGGAAGACTGTGAGCTGCATGCACTGTTCCTCCCTCTCACTCCAGCGTCAGGATGCCTAGTACCGAGTTTTGCTGCAAAGTTCTTCATGGTACAGTACTAAGAGCCAACAGCATCAATGTTCAGGCTACGCACATGGAAGTTCACTCTGACAAAAGCATCGGCGGCATCGGCCGTGCAAGCACATGGTGGGTGTTCAGGATCCCATGGTTCCGGCTGCGCCGGAAAAGGGGCAGGCTTCTTTCAAGTGTCCAATCCAAAGCAACTCCTTATATAGTTTTGGGGATTCTCTTCGCTTCCCAAGATTCCCCAAACGAAATCTGCAGAGGATTCAACCCACACACGCACACATGACCAGTGGTGACAAGCAAAAAAGGCCTCCAGCTCCCTGGTCGTGGATGGAGAGGATCGGATTCTTAGGCCTGAAGGCGCCAAGTGGCGCGCGCAACTGACGATGCACAGGAGGCAAGGTTTGGGAGGCAAATGGACCCGGTCCCAGGAAATCATGATGTGATGTACTTTTTGAAGCATGGAAGCTAGAAGCCCTTTAGGTTTCCGAGCCCGTCCTGTGGGCGAAGGCTGTAAGCGTCAAGGGCCAAACACACTTGCAACCTCCTTCAAGTGTCTCTTGCCTCAACTGAGCCCTGGAGGCTTGCAAGCTAGCGGGCGCTCAGAACATTCTGCAGAGATGTTCAGCCTTGCTGCTTGCTGCGTGTCCAACTTTCAAGGATCGCAACGATTTCGACAGCTTCACAAAACCATAGAGCCTCCAGCAACCTTCGTGTGCAAAATTCTGTACATGCAGACTTCGGCACATGGTCCTTTCAAGTGTTTCAATCGTGAACCTGCTTCAAGTTCTCGTTGAGTTCAATTTTTTAGAGACAGTTGCCGATACTCCTCTTTCGCCTGGACTATTTCCTAGAGAATCTGCAGTCACTGCTGTCAGTTTGAGAGATGAAACCCTTTTCTGGTAGAAACACTTGAGACCAACTTCGGGAAGGTTTATCATGAAGATCTCCTAGCGTGGCACTCATCTTTTTCCAGTTTCGGGGTCAATGCAACAAAATTTGAGACAAGGTGGCCACCAGCAAATGCTCCGAAACGTCGCAAGTGGTCAAGTTGGGATAATGTGCCTTTGGGAGCAGAAGGAAGCCAAGACTGATGCTTCGAGATCAACACCCTGCACTCACAGAACCTGAAAACCATTGTTGAAGCCAAGCCATCGATGTCTATCTACTTGGGGTGCCTTTAAGAAATCCCGGTTCACGAGTTCGTGAGTTCAACACCACCAGGCAACCGCCAGGGCTGCCAGGATTTCCCTTGGCGGATTTGTTCGTCCGAGGAAATCCGTTTCGTGGCAGGACTGAGGATCCTTCGATAAAACGAAAAAAAGGTCGATTCGATGCTTCGAACTTCAGCCTGTCTGGGTGTCCTGGCTGGACCACTCTACACTACTTAGGCATGTCCAGTGGACACCCAAACAGGATGGTTCGAAGCAATTTTTCAAGATGGTCAGCCCACTGGAGTCGCTCCTTGTACAAAAGCACCTACTGGGTGCACACCCGGGTCATGCGAAGGGGCTGGGCGATTCCGGTGGTTTGCCGAGACGCAACGACTGAAATTGCGGCTCCCAAGAATAGGACTGGCCGCCCAAAACTAGCAGAAATTCATGGTGTGTTCCAAGTTCTCTCTCCTTGGCACGCCATAGACCCTTTACCTCGAAAAGTGGGACTGGGACTGGGACTGGGGAGTTCCATCCAGTTCTTTCTGGTTGGGACTGCGGTGTTTCACCCAGTAGGGGTTGAACCCCCATGCTCCTACGGGTAGGGCCGCAGTTCGACGGCTCTGTGGGTAGCTGGCGTAGCTGGAAGGAGGGTTCAGGTGATCCAGAGGTTGAAGGACCCTAACTAGCCTATCCCATAGGTACCCCAGTGAGGTCCTATTTGGATGTTTCAGTGTCCCGGCGTCCACATCCAGCGGATCCAGCGGAACGGAAGGGCGCCAAGATCCCGTTGCCCTGGGCGCGCCCGGCCCGAGCTCGACACAGGCCCTCACCACACGGTTCACCTGGAGGAGCTGTCCGAGGTCGTCCCGAGGTCGGGTCCGATGAGAGGAACCACCCAGCAAGGACCGGTGGTTGGGCGCCACCAGACTTCGAAGGTCGTCTAGGTGAACAGTCGCTGTGGAGGTTGGGAGACGCCCCTGGTTTGAGGATACACCTGAAGCCTTCAGTTCGACACCAGGTCACAGAATGAGGGACAATTGACCTGGTGACCTGTCGTGTAAAATCCTTAGTAAAGCAAGGGTTCTTCGGCAAAGACTAAATCAAGGGTTGTTGGAAAATCCAGGATATATAGGGGGTGCCCATTATCCGCTCACTTAGGGACCAAAACCACCCCTGTGTGACTCCTGGAGAGGTGTTGTGGGGAGCATTTTCACAGATGACGTGCCTGAAGAAGAGTGAAGCAGTCACTGACATCGTCACGGCGCGGACGCGTTTCGTGACCGGTTTCGTTTCGGTGCTTTCTTCAGTCCCGGTGCTTTTCGGTTTTGTCGATAGAACCTGGCGGAAACCGAAAAAATATGCAAATGCACGCATTCGAAGGGCAACAGATGGCAAGCTCTTTGAATCAGGTGGAAGCTCAACCCTTCCAAAAGCGATCTCTGCCCACCCACATGCCCGTGGTTTTGCCCGAACCCTGCCCCTGCGCGGCAGTCACCCTCATGCCCCCTGCGCCCTTCGACGCCACCCTTCATCCGGCCCGTGATTCCCCCCTCTGCCCTCGGCGCTCGGCCCGACACCTCGGCCCTGCTCGGTGCGCACCGCCCTGCGACCGGCGTGGCCTTCTGCTGCATCTCTGCATCTCCTCGTTGTACCGCGTTGAAATCCAACTCCTCCTGGCCCAGCACGACCGGTCGACGGAGGACCACCGGTAGGGAAGTGGAACTTCAGGTGGTTGGAAGACCCAAGCTTCGGGACATCAACTAGACCTTTTTGGTGGCTAAAAAGATGGCTATAAAGGATTTCAAGGGGTTGTTCTTGGTGTCTTTAGGGGGGATTCATAGCTGTTTCGGGTAGATACGGTCTGACCTTGCGTCGTCTGGGCATCGTCTGGTCGACGATTTTTTTAGGTCTGACTCGATGGGGCAGAAGAGAGTCCTTCTCCAAGACCCGAAACCTGCCAGCCACCAGCCGTTTGAGCCTTGTTCAGTGCGTCTCCCGAAATCAGCCAGGTTCATAAACGTTCAGAGTGAGTTTTTGTATCATACCGGGTTCGGTATTTTATCAAACATCTCACCGCAATTCCTCCTAAATTTGGAGTTGCCCAGCCTCTGAAAAAGCCCAGCTCCTCTGCTTCTCTTCTGCTGCCCCCAATCTCCACCCACCACAGGTGCCATACATGCGCCACCCACCTGGTTGTCACCGGCCACCATGGAGGAAGCAGCACCACCGCCCACGCCGATGCGATAGGCCGGGCCGCCAATCTTGACCACCAGCTGGCCAGCCTGGCAGGGCGGGGAATCGTCCTCCACGAACAATCTGTTCACCATGGCCGAAACCGAAGGGATGAAGGTCAAAACGGATGCAATTAATGGAAAAAACAAAGAACTTCCATGAGTTCTGAAGGATCTTCCGAAAGAGTCGGGGGCATCAATACAAAAACAACAAAAGGATTGAAACAAAAAAGGGACTCTCCGGTGTTTCGAAAGGAGCACTCAAAAAACACTCAAAAAAGGAGCACTCGGCTTCTGCTCCGTTCGTTGCTGCGCTCCGCCCGCGGCACCTGAGGCTCTTCCTTCACCAAGTGACCATGGTCCATTTGACCCAGTCCTGGCCAGCGGAGACTCTGGGAACATAGCGTCAAGCAAAGGACATCATTCAGCAAGCTTATCGCTTTTGAGGGGGGTCCTATCGCTTTTGCAGGTCACCACCACCGCTCTTTACTAAATTAGTCTTTGCACGTTTTGGCAGTTGCTCACATAGTCTTGGATGGTCTCAGTTCACTTAGTCTTGCATGGTCTTCCTTTACCATCTTTCACCCACTCTACACTCTACAGGCTCAACAACGCACTTTGGAATCCGGCTAAAAGCACAACCCCAAAAGATGGTCTCTGAACGCTCGGTGAGACGAAGAATAGAGATCACACCCCGCCAGCGGAGAGCGAACCCCGCCCGCCCACGACAGGACGGGCATCGTCCCTTCAGCCCAACGCTGAGCCTGTAGGGGGCCAACATGTATCCTGGGAGTCAAAGACTATAAAAAGAATGCTCTGACGAACGGGGACCGGAGTCCAGGAACTTCCTGAAACCTTCAGCCGGTCAAAATAGAGTCGAACTGAACTTCTAGGCGGCTGGCATCGTCCAGGCTTCCAGGCGGTCCGGACCAAAAAGCCACGCTGGACCCGGCAGCTGCGCGTGTTCCGGACCTCCCTGTTTGTGACCGAACGACCTCGGAGTCCCTGGAACGACCGAACCTCAAGGGCGAAGTCACTAGTGACTGAAGTCATGAGATGAAGTTTGGTCACTGGATCCAGGCAGAAGGGGGGGTTCTTTGGGATTCAGACCATACGGTGGGTTGTTGAAGTTGACTCGGGAAGATGAGGAGGCGAAATCCGATGAAGATGAGGAATCGCAGAATCCATCCACCTGCGACCCGAGCACATGACCCTCTAGATTGACATGGACAGTCCATCACAGGGTTCGTCTTCGGACATGGTCGTTCGACCACGGGTCAATTCTCAGGGATGTTTGTTTTTGTTGTTTTTCTCGATCATCTTAGATTATATTTCAAACATGTTCACACCCCCGTCTACAACAAAGAAGAGGGCGCTTTGCGACAGATCATTGTATTTGGGGCACCCACCGATAATCAGCGCCCGACCCACCCCCGACGACGGACTCCTCCGCTCAGCATGATGGGCTTGACCCACTCGAAGCGCTCGCCGCTGGGCATGCGCATCCCACAGGACCTCTCCCAAACGACGCGGTGGCAGCGCGCTCGACTCGACCGGTGGCGCCGGTGTGGGTGCACGGGTGAACGAAGCTCGGCGGCGCCGAAGCGTGATCCGAAGGATCACCACCTGGAGCCTCCCAGATCCGGGTTTCTCCTTCCTTGCAAACAACAGGGGCCAAAGAAGCTGTTATCTTCGTCTAGTCCAGCCAAAGTGTATATGAGATGCCGAGCAGTGGGAGCTCTGTATGAAACCAACAGGAATGCTGTTCTGTCTTCGATTTGCTCCAAATTTATCCAGATCCTATCTGCGTGGGATGATGATCATAAAGGAAGGAGATGACCAATTGGGAGAATAAGCGTTGTCCCTTCCCAATCTGAAAGGAATAACATGACTGCCTATGCTATGCCACTCAAAAGTGCCACCTCAAGAGAATTCAGTGAATTTTGTGGGAGGAGGTCGCTCTAAGAAACTTCGCAGCATCAAACATCGCCAGAGAGGTAGCCCAAATCCTTCCTAGACAGCCCGTGGGTGGAAAACACCCCAGCTCCACCTCGCGTTTCCACAGATCAACGGCGCCTGGTCCAGCCACAGATCAACGGCTCGCCAAACCTCGGTCACCGTCGCGACAACCGACGACCGTCCGGTCTGGTCCACCGTCCACGGTCTGAAACCGCCCTGGGGGTCCTAAGGGTCGGAAGAGAACGAAGGACGAGTTCTTGTTTCTACTAGCTTCTTGCTCCTAGTAGTAAGGCACTGATTTCCTAGTAGCGTGGCACTTGTTCCTAGTGGCTTCTTCAGTGAATCCAGTGAATGCCCCCGGATTTCACATCGTTTCTGTGTCCGATCCTCTCATTCGACTCGAATTCTCAGGTTCCGAAATGGCCACAGATGTTCTTCTCTTGACTTGGGCTCTACCAGTGACGAAGGTCCAGTGACACCAAGGAACACCTGGTCGGCACGCCACCGAGTATGGTTTCTTCTTCTCCCCCAGACCGACAAGAACAGCATGTCGGTCAAACCCGTAGCATGTGGACGGAAGTGGCAGCGGAAACCGCAGCACGGGCCGTTCCTGAAAGGAATGGACCCTCCCTGAAACTATCATGGAAGTGGATGGCACCCCCAGTTCGTAGAGGAAAACAGTCTTCCAATGGTCCAACGCTGCCATGTTCCACTTCCATGATTGTGGGAGAGAGGGTAGTCTTCCAACTTCCAAAGACCATAACTCGCGGCTGACCGAACTTACAGACCTGGAACTGGTGACCTGGACAGGGGATCAATGGTCGGTCACCGGGAAGATCCAGGTACGTCATTCAGGTACGACCCATCCGCGGCGCAGATGGTTTCTGCATCGCGGACACAGCAGAACCACAGAGGTTCTGCAAACTGGGAGGGTGGAGCAAATGGAGCCCCCTTGAACTAAAGGGGAAGACGTTGGAAATGAAGAGGATCAGGAAGATGTCCAGTCCTGGGATGAAATTCGAGTGTTTCTTTCCCGTCCAGCGACATGGTGTCAACCCAGCAAGTGGACCATGTCCAATCGTCGCCGACGGAAGTGGCCGTCTAGAGTACTGCGGGGGCGCCGAGTCCGGTTCCCCCACATGCCTCGAATGGTCGTGGACATGGACCACGCAAGTGGACCCCTCAAGGAAAAAGGAGGTCCATGTTAATCTGCAGGACGCAGACACACGTATGGGAAAAGAAACGCCTACATTGACCCCTTTTCAACCACCCCTGGCCGTTTCTCGGCCACAAATGGTCCCATGGGTCGTGTCTGTGGGAGGATCCTCAATTCCAGTCATGTCGCTTGTTGCCATAGTCGCTGGCGCCATTGGAGCAGTCGATGAGAACCTGAACGGTCGACAGTCTTCATGAGACCTGTTGGCGAGTGCTGGTAAGGGGTGGTTAATGGTGTTTTTAAAGCCCGCTCCCCCCCCTTATTTAATTGAGTAGGCGCCTACTTAATTGAGTAAGGAACTGAGGTAGCTAGTAGGTACAGGACGCTCCTAGGTAGGACGCAGGATAGCTCACGCTTCTTCCAGTTTAGGGCGGCCGGGGAAGCTTCCTCGAAGAAGCGCTCGCACTAATGATTTGGTTTCTAGATTTTTTTTGGGAACACTTAAGCTTGGAGGCCATTGCTATTAGGTTGGAAACTCAAGCCATGAACGGGGGCGGTAGATTGCAGACATGACCGTCGATGCCTCGGGGGTCTAAGCCGAGCCAAAGCCACCGGGCGCCCGGCGGGTCCGTGGCCACAAGAGGCCCGTTCGGGAAGATCAGTGGATGTTCCAAGAATCTGATCCAGGGCACCTGCTGTTCCTGCGTCTCCAACCAGGTAAAACCTTACCTGAAATGACATGGTCGGGGTGGGTGTTTGGCTCGTCCCTTTTTTAAGCCAAAGTTGGCCGTGGATGCGATGTGACGCACCCTGCACCCTGACTTCCTCGGATGGCACCCAACTCTGGTCCTCCGTGTTCGTTTCGTGGGAGAAAGGGGTGCTCCTCCGCTCCCCCACGCGCGTGAACCCGTCGCTCCCTTTGGCATCGCATCGCTGCTTGGGGTTTTGGCGCGGCACGTGCGGTGCGGCAGCTCCACCTGGCTCGGAATGTGGAATCCTTCCCGGGGTTCCCTCCCCTCAAGGATATGATGATGCAAAGGTTCCTGTGACATCCTATGACCCTGGGTTCTTCGTGACCAGTTCCTGGATGACTTTGGTGGTGACTTCGGCCTGGAAGTTCGGTCACAAGTGACTTCGCGACTCCAGAAAGCTCACTGTGAAGGTCCTGGACATGGTTATAGTAGTTACCATACCTCCCCAGCAACGACAGCTTTCATATGCTTCCATGAAGTCGACAGCCTCCAAACAGAGTCGATCATCTATACTTGAACACGAGCCAGTGGAAAAGCTCCGAACAACCGTGATTGAATTTTAGAGGTTCAGTGACCTGAACTAGGACCCGAGCTACCTGGGGTACCTATAGATTCTAGATCCTATAGGCCTATAGGAGAGTCGAACCAGGGTTCTGAAAAACCTGGTATGGTAAGCCTCCTCTCTCGTCCGAAGGCCTCTCTCTGAGACTTCGCACTCCCAACGCGTCGACCAGGAGAGCGGCGACCCAAGGGAGGTCTGCTTCATCCGGTTTTGACCCAGGTTTCAACATGAGCAAATCGAACACCCCCGAAGTCGGAGGTTTGCCCGTGTTCGACTTGACCTGTTCTCCTTCCAAACCAGTGTTCTTTCTCACTTCTCCGCGTGAAGCTCTAAACGTTGTTCCAGCTTCGCCGGTTTTCGGCACATGAATCGTTCGCCAAACGCTTCCTTTTTGGAACGAGACGGCCCCAAGCCGAGGGCCCGGTGTGTGTCGGTTCGAGACCTTGAGCAGAGCTCCCCTCAGCCTCACGGGGAGCTCCAAAACCATAGACTTAGACGGTGATTCGGGGGGTGTCCAATTCACCCCAAGACCGGCCTACATGGGAGGCCATGGTTCACCAGAAGAACCACTCTGTTCAGGAAACGCACCCTTTGATTCCTGATCCCTAGGTGTGTAGCTCAGTTTCACCTCCCTGGATTCGGTCCGGAACGACGGCACCATATACAGTCTACCCCGCCAGGGGCGGGGCGAGAAAGGGAGGGCTTTCCGACGTCCACACCCCATACACCTGGGAAGAAACCCACATGGAACCTGAAAATGGACCAGACTGGAAGACTACTTGCCTCTACAAACCAGTGGTGAATTTTCCCGGGTGTATCCAGTGGAGACCGACTGGGATCCACCATGGATCCACCATGGCGACCGTCCGCACCTAGCGGTCCAGGCCATGCTCCGTCACGATGCGATAGAGCTGGTTGGCCACCTGCGGATAACACCACGAAGCTTCCGGGTGCAACCACGATCCGAGAAATCAGGAACCAACCGCGGTGATGGGCGGATTCAATTTTGGCCAGTCAGGGGAAGTGGCAGTGGCCTACAGTAGTGGAAAATCAGCACATCGGTTTTTGGAAGGAATTCAATCGCAGCTTCAGAGTGGTGTCATCTGCGATGAGGTCGAGTGGCTGCAAGGAAGCAGGTGCAGCATCCGAAAGAAGCAATGTGTTCGATATATTGTAGGAACGATCCTTGGAAAGTGGTTGGAGGAGAGAAGAACAAAAACCCGTCAACATGAGGCCACGATACATTGTTTTTTTTCGTCGCGATAGAGTTCATCGGGTCCACTGATTGGGCGCTAACCAGGTCCGCAAAGAGTACAGACTGGTGTCATCTGGCTACAAAGACGCAAAGAGTCCAGGCTCCCAAAGAGTTTGGGCCGTTTTTTGAAGTCCAAAAAAACAAAACGGAGTTGTTGGTTTTAACCCCGTGAACGCGGGCCGGGCTGTTTCTTGGGCGACTGCAGTCGCCCGCGGTTTTTGGGGGCGTTCGCAACACAAAATTCCACCATTCTGGGTTGAGCATGTCGTGCTCTTGTTAGGCTCTATGCCATCTTGTCTTCGCTCATCTAGTTTGCAGGGATGGAAGTCCAGGGTGGTTCCCAATTTGCAGAAGATGGGGTATCAATACTAAAGCCAATAGGAAGTGTCTCATCTTGCAATATGAGTAATGTGTGTTGTAGTGTGATTGAAATGTGTCAAATATGTCACTGATGACAGTTTCTTCTCTGAACTACACACCAGAATGTATATATATATATAATTGTATGTGTATTATGTACAACATGTGCGTTTGTGTCATGATTGGATCACGTTTAGCTGGCGTGTAACCATCCTGATCCACAGCTGATTCAGCCCCACACTCTGACACCCCAACACCTGCTGATTCTCACAAACCGTTTCCTTAGAACCGAACAAACTCCACCTCTCCGTGGTCTTCTTGTTGTCCTGCTACACACGACTTCGGCCGCCTTGGCCCAGCGCGTCTCGTTCTCTTTGGCCCGCAGGAGCTCGTCCCCCAGGTCGGTGCCCTCGCTCGCCTCCGGGCGCACGTCGGGTCGGTCGGGGGAGGGCGAGGATGCACACCCCCTTGGTATCTCCCTGGGCTTCCAATTTAATAGGCTTTACTGAATCAACTAAGGATTTTACACTAAAAACAGGTCAACCATTCTTTAAATGGTCTTGGAAACCTAGGGTATCACCTCTTTTTTGGAGGCAGAGGGGGTCACTTACGCATCCACTTTTGGGTCAAGACCCGCATCGAGGGTCACTTACGCCATCGACTTTTGGGTCACTTCCGCATCGAGGGTCACTTGCGCATCGACTTTGGGTCACTTCCGCATCGAGGGTCACTTTGCCATCGACTTTTGGGTCACTTCCGC